AAAGCAGAATTTTATTTCAACCTTTCTTTTGGACATCTAAAACACTGTTATTTGTTTATTTCGGCATGTACGAAAATAGGACAATTTAACTCTTCCGAAAAAGATGCATTTCACCTAAATATGAATGCATTTGATTTTTTTTTTTGTAATTTGCATAAAGCTGTGTTGTTAAGCTTTCTTGTAAACTAATACCTTCTAACATATCTTTGATAGTTTTTAAGTAATTCATAAAGGTAGGAAGGTAACGTTTCTTTTGGCGTTTAGTGTATACATAGGAAAAAAAGGTTTAGCTCCCCCCAGGAATTTTTCTGAAGTTTCATGAACTGGCTACAATTGTGGTTTTTAGTACTGTTTGAGAACCTTCACCTTCGACTGTGTGGGAACATAATCCAAACAGCGCCACATCATGTTTGTAATTCATAGCATGACTTTGCAAAACAACTGATTTTGTGATAGGAAAGTATACCCTTCACAAGTATGGTCCTGCAAAGAAAAACTAACAAAACGTGCTCAATGAGACTGAAAAGTGTAATTTCACCCATATTCTTCACAACTCAACTGTTTAAACGCAATATCTGGAGTATCCACCAATTGTCACCAAATCCAGTTTGCAGTCATGTGACAAGCAACCTCAGATCATAATCGGACCACCACCAAAGGCAACTGTTGGAATGCTGTATTTAGCCGCCGCCACAGTGAGTGAGTGAGTGAGTTTAGTTTTACGCCGCACTCAGCAATATTCTAGCTATATGGCGGCGGTCTGTAAATAATCGAGTCTGGACCAGACAATCCAGTGATCAACAGCATGAGCATCGATCTGCGCAATTGGGAACCGATAACATGTGCCAACCAAGCCAGCGAGCCTGACCACCCGATCCCGTTAGTCGCCTCTCACAACAAGCATGGGTTACTGAAGGTTCATTCTAACCCGGATCTTCGCGGGTTCCTCCGCCATACTCTCACCCGACCAGTAACATGCAGTAAAAATCTGCTTTCATCCGACCAATGAACCTTGCGCCATGTCCTGATTAGATTCCACCCTCTACGCGTCAAGCACCCTGCTAATCTGAGTCTCGTGGTGATCTTGCTGTAAGGGCCTTTTGTTAGGTTGTCTAGACTTCAAGTCAGCACGTCTCAGGCGATTTTGAACAGTCCTGGATAACAAATGACGGTTGATAACCAGAGACCCTTCAAAACTGTACTTGAGGCAAATGGATTAAGTCGCACAAGTCTTACCAATGCTCTGTCCTCGCGCTCTTTAGTCTTAGACTGTCCCCTGGATCGTGGTCTGTCCCTCACATTCGTTGTTTGCTGGTATTTCCTCACCAAACGGCTGATTACCTTGTACCGTGAACGTTCATCTCACGTCCTATGGCTTTGTAAGACAAACCAGCGTTACGCATTCCAGTTACTTGCCATCTTTATGCTTCTGTCATCCTTCTTCGAGCCATGGTCGCATAGAAATAATGTACACATAAAAACTTCCAGAATAAATACTGATTTCTGGCATGTGCGCATACTGCATTTTGAAAAATCGTGCATTGCGTTCTTGCGATCGCTCTCGGGATGTGTTTGAGCGACACACCTGACTAAATGTCACAGAATCCTATAGCAATCTTACCATTTTAGTCACATCATTATCCTTACAACACTATTATTTACCGTTGCAAACATATCGTCAGTAACAAAAGGGGATGCTTAACATTTTTCCTTATGTATATGTGTAGACTGCCTTTCAATGACCAGGGGCCCGTTTCACAAAGCGACCGTAGCGCTACGACTGTCGTAAGACTATGTTAATGTATGGGAGTTACGATCACCTTAGCGGTAAGATCGCTTTGTACAACGGCACCCAGGATCCACGTACACAACGAACTGAAATGAATGGTCCTTTTGATTTGACTGCTAAAATATATTCAGTTGTAAGTTTACCCTTCACCCAAGGTGTCCTGTTGCTCGTGTCTAGATTTGATTATTGACTCGTAGTTTCTCAATGTCTCGATATTATTTACATCTTTGATTGCATCAACCACCCAGTGACAAGCACGAAAGGTAAGTTGCGTCACTAGATTAACGATAACTGAAACAGACAATCATCTAGACAAGCTTTTAGTCTTTGAAAATATGTAACTCTGATAAAACAAATTGAAAAGAAGCCCCAGTCAGATGGAAGCTGAAACTGCGGGAAAGCTAGACTTGCTTTATTTCATGTGTGAGTGATTGAGTGAGTTTAGTTTTGCAATAATTCCAGCAATATCACGACAGGTGACACCAGAAATGGGCATCACGCATTGTACCCATGTGGGGAATCGAACACGGGTCTTCGGCGTGACGAGCGAACGCTTTAAACACTAGGCTACCCCTCCGCCCCGCGCCAAACAAGGCGAAAAAGTATTGCAGTCACGTATATACATGATATAAAGGTTATTAAGAGGTACTTTTCCTTATATGAAATCAGATCACCAGATCTACTGTCTTTGGCCTTATGTCATCTTATATCTTGGTCTAAGTTACCCGTGAATGCAGTTATGTCGTTCCTCTCATGCATGCATCAGATAAACAAAAAGACGTGTCATTGACATAACAGTTTGTTCTCGGTAGACCGTATTCTGTCTTAAAACACCCGTGATCATCCAGGTAAGAATTGATCTTTAGAAACCATGCTTGTCATAAGAGGCGACTAACGGGATCGGGTTGACGCATGTCATGGTATCTCAATGGCGTAGATTGATGTTCATGATGTCTGGTCCAGACTCGATTTTGTACAGACTGCAGTCATATAGCTGGAATAGTGCTGAGGCGACTAAGGGGATCGGGTGGTCAGGCTCGCAAACCTGGTTGACGAAACCCATGCTTGTCGTAAGAGGCGACTAACGGGATCGGGTGGTCAGACTCGCAAACCTGGTTGACGCAACCCATGCTTGTCGTAAGAGGCGACTAACGGGATCGGGTGGTCAGACTCGCAAACCTGGTTGACGAAACCCATGCTTGTCGTAAGAGGCGACTAACGGGATCGGGTGGTCAGGCTCGCTGACTTGGTTGACGCAACCCATGCTTGTCGTAAGAGGCAACTAACGGGATCGGGTGGTCAGGCTCGCTGGCTTGGTTGACACATGGCATCGTATCCCAGTTGCGTAGATCGATGCTCATGATATTAAGCAATGGATTGTCTGGTCCAGACTCGCTTATTTACACACCGCCAAAGGCTGGAATATTCCTGGAGTGCGGCGATTAACAACAAACAAACATAAATCTATAACCATCTAGAACTTTTACTGCCTAATACACAATGGTAACCATTCAGAAGACTTGAGTGAGTGAGTGAGTATGGTTTTACGCCGCTTTTAGCAATATTCCAGCAATATCATGGCAAGGGATGCCAGAAAAGAGAAGAATTTGAACATGAACAAATAATAATATTTTCCTTTCAGGAAGTGGTACCAATGAGCGTGACTCATCGGAATTCCGCCTTTGAAAATGATGATCTGGATGATGTATCACCAGCCAGGACCCGTCTAGCCGCTGTACCAACCACGTCAAGTGTCAGCACAGCGCACCAGTAGGTCCACTTTGTTTTCTGTGGTGCTTTTTAGACGTACCTTTGTCATAGCATGATGTGACTCTCTTCCTGGCCGGTGGGGTAGTCTAGTGGTTAAAGCGTCCGCTCGAGTCGCCGAAGATCCGTGTTCGATTCCTCACATGGGTACAATGTGTGAAGCTCATTTCTGTTTTGTTCTTTACAGAGCACCTGACGGATGGGACACCACTCAAATAAAACTCGACAGTCATCAGGACAGTTCTTCCCATGACTGGGACCTCTTGTACAAATTCATCCGTGTCGTTGTCTGCACTCTGTTCTTCTGTCTGGTGCTCGCCACGGCCACCGTCTCCAAGCTGTCCCTGTTGGTAATGGTGTCCAACATCCACGTGTCCCGAGACGTTGATGTGGTGTTCAGGAATGCCACAGATCACGCCGTGTCCAGCAGCGAGTTGGTCATCAATGTGCACTGGATATGGGCGTTACTGTGTGTGACCACCCTGCCTTACATATTCAACACGCTGTCATCCCTCTGGGCGGTTCTCACTATGATATCTGGCGAGCTGCATATTCCGTCTCTCATTCTGGTGAGTGAGTGAGTGAGTGAGTGAGTGAGTTTCACACATTGCCCCATGTGGGGATTCGAACCCAGGTCTTCGGCATGACTAGCAAACACTTTAACCACTTGGCTACCCCAATGCTACCCTTTGCTATAAAACAACTTGGGTCTTCGGCTTCACACTTGAACAACTAGGCTACCCCACGCCCCTGTCATCGTGGTAAGAAATACGTATCAACAACACATCGCAACACGTGTATGTAGCCCATGCAGTATTTAAAAGATCCGAGAAGATCCGGGTTAGAACTGGCCTTCAGTAACCCATGCTTGTCGTAAGAGGCGACTAACGGGATCGGGAGGTCAGCCCCGCTGACTAGGCTGACAGATGTCATCGTATCACAATTGCTAGACCGATGCTCAAGCTGTTGATCAATGAACTGTTTGGTTCACACTCGAATATATACAGACCGCCACCATACAGCTGGAATATTGCTGTGTGTAGCGTTAAACAACAAACAAACACATAGGCGGATCCAGAGGGGGAAGGGGAGGTTTTTTTGCAGGTCCCCCCCCCCCTGAAAGTTTATTAAATGACCATTGAAACTCGGATGAAAATGAAATGTGCACCCCTTTCTCAATAGTGTGCACTCCCCACCCCACCCCACCCCTTTCTCAAAAAGCTGTATCTGTGTATAATTTCTTTTGCCCACAGGTATTCTTACTGAATATATGAAATGTGTTCAGGGATGCACATTCACGTTTATTTTTATCTAGTTATGACGTTTGCACACCTCAGCGCAATGAGGATATATCAGTACACATGAATACTGACTATACCCAATATGAATATAATGTATAATATTTCTTTCAGGCCCTTATACCGGAAGTACTTCATACTGGAGGTCTTAACCTTTTCATCTTCTATGTCCTACCTAGTTTTGACCCAATCACCGGACTGGTCTTGACAGTAAGTGTGGGAACACTTCCAGGGATATTGAATATTCTCCGACCTGTTGGATGTCGATGTGATGATGGTGGTTGTCAGGGCAGTTGCATCAACAAGAAGTGTTTTATACGAATCTTGAACACGTTCATGTTTCTCTTGCATGTGGCAGCCATGGCTTGTCTCACCTTCCGGGTCTACGTGGTGAGAGGGGCAGTTTTGCTAACGTGTCTCGTACCCATCTCACTCTTTCTCATCTCCATCTCATACTGGGACAATTTTGTTCCAAAGCTGCGCCCAAACCATGACCAAAATACAACCAGGAATGCTGAACAGGGAGCGAACAGGGACAGAAGTGTTGATACAAAATCCAGCTATTCTAGCACTCAAGCTTCAAGCCCCTGTTCTTTAAGCTGGGTAAAGACAGAGGTGGGAAAACGGGCTTCAAAAGCAAATTTGTGTATTTCTATCTGTAAAATCTGTGTCACGCTTGGGCTGGCGGCAGTTTGCTTCAACCATGGCAACACTGACTGTTGGAGAACATTTTTCTTTGTCCGTGCTCAAGGGAACAGATGTAGCTTCAATGCTGATGTGACTCTTCTGAACAAGCCCCTCACTCTCCTTGGATAGTTGCAAGTGTGAGTGTGGTATCAAGCGCCGTGTGCTACAAGATATCGAAGTACGCCTGCAAAATACAAGCTCAACAACTGTGCTTCGCTCTTCCATTAATACTGTCGTTCCTATCAACTCTCTGTATCCTTGGATACGCTGCTCTGAAAGCGGAGTATGTGAACGGAGTCATAGGAGCAACAGTGATAGAAACATATTTCCATGCCAGTGATGTACTTACTTTATTGACATCGTATACTTATGTATACTGGATTCCTATTGGAGCTGCTTCTATGGTATATCTCATGTTCGGTGTAGGATTCCATATCTGGATTCCAAGGTGCAACAGGATGAGCCCTACGTGGAGGTAAGGCATATTGATGATAATAGTCCACTTTTATAGCGCCATTCCAGGATGTATTTCTTGCTTAAAGCGCTATTATTATTACTCCGGATAATCCAACCTGCCTGTGAGGCGCTAGAAGGTTAATAGTCACATAACTTATCCCACCGGGTACCCATTTTCTGCTGGGTGAACAGAGGCAATTTTGAACAAACTCACTTGCCTATGGTGAGACCACATGTATCACATTCGCTTCGTTGTGGGGCAGGACTGAAGTCCTAGAAACTCTCAGGAATCAAGCTACCAAACACGGTCACCCATCCAAGGAGTCTCTTCATATTAGAGAAATAAAAACTCCACAGTTCGAACTCACCATTCATCTAGTTGTAGAAAGGCGGAGGTTTAGGTCAAGTCATATAATGCCTATCTCAGCTTCCTTTGGTTGGAAAATATTTTCCTTAAGAAATATAGTCTTAGTCACAACATGTTGAAATTTTATTGTTGGTTGAGATAATGTCATAATTTCATGACAATATTTGAATTAAATGTGAAAGGCTTTTGGAAGAGCATTGTAATTCATTTGCATTTTGTAATGCAAAGTCTATTACTGTGTAACTTAGAGCATGGGAATATTTGTTTCTGAGTTGTGCATATGTGCAAACTAGAAGTGCATAAAACATAATCATTTATGCAAGAAGTACATGACTTTCTATATTGATGAGCGGCACTTACTTGGTACATAAATTCTAGGGGGTGAGGGGTAATTCACATTGTACATGCTTCTCCATAAAGATTATGAACCGTACCTTATCTCGAACACCTGGCGTAATCTCTGACATTTAGGTGTCCACTTTATATATATTCATACCAAATTTCCTTATACGACTAATGAAATCTGCTTCATTAGAAACTCGAGACTGGTTTTCTACGGTGCTGACGTTAGTAATTGTAGTTAGCAAACCGGAAGTAATGCCATAAACCGGAAGTGCACATAATTTGCTTTTAGTTCTGCATTAGACTGCAATTAGATTCATAGGAGAGTGTTTTTTAACAAATCGACGAGTCAAATTCAATTTAACTGTTAACAGGCCCTCGTGTCTTTGCGAGGATTAAAGATGTTAAAAAAACATAAAACATTTGAGATGATCCCCGACTCGAAATGCTTCACGTCAGATAGTTGTTTACACTTTTACCACCTGAGCGCACAGGCCCTCGTGTCTTTGCGAAGATTAAAGATTAAAAAACCAGTTGCGCTCAGGTGGTATAAGTGCCAAGCTTCCAATGTTTATAAAGTTCCCCAGTGCAGGCGTACAGTAACATAAAAAAGACGGAACTAAGCCCTTGGCCTTCACGTGGCTGATTTCTCTCACATAGACAACTATCGGACGTCTCGAAACGCCATCGTTTGAGCAGAGATTAACCTAACTTTAAGGTTAACGAAGCAGATCACACAAAGACTATGTAGTCATTCAGGTTGTCGTGTGGTGTCATCAACATCTTTCTGGCAGCTTGACGTTGATTGAAGCAATGACGAACTGGTATCCATTCCGATTTTTCTAAATATTCCTGTGATGTTTTTTCAGGTTGTTCCAGAAGCCCCTATACTGTGGAGTGTTGCTTGATTTATCGTTGATTCTCAACCGGAACAGGGAAGAGCAGTGGGTAGGTGATGAGCTCTGTCAGCTGCTGATGGAAACAACTGTCAAACTGCAGTAAACGAGGCTCAAGATAAAGGCAGCTACACAATGCCCAAAACGTTTGTGACATAGCTGAAAAGAAATTAAATAAAATAATGGAATCCATTTTAAAATCCATCTTCTTTAAAACGTTATTACGCTAAAATCCATCTTCACTGGATTCTGACTGCTGTCAATGGGGAAGGGCAATAACACGTAAATACTGCCCTCAGTTGTGCCAGGATCCGTTGATTGTATGCCGGGATCACTCATTGGTATCCTTGGTGTTTGAAGTATTATGGCGGGCATTATGTTGGGTTAATCAATCATTAATCCATCATATAGGACTTAGCTTAATCTAATCTATCTACGTACTTCGAAATAAAAAACACTCGTTTCGCATGTTTCAATTTAACTGAAACTGAGGTTGTCTTTACAAAGTATACCATTGTCATCTTTGTTCCAAGCTTAACCTTTACCGAACACCTGGGGTCATCACATAATTTTAGTGATCCATTCAGATTTGTTTCACCGTTATTTTGCCCTTGACACCAAATGGAATATGTTTCAGAAGACAATCTGGTTATTGACATTTTACGTGTATCCTTTTGACAGGCTCAACCACAGCAGCAAGCCACGTCTATCTACACCCCGATGATACACCTGTGTGCCACCATGTGGCAGGAGGAACTGAGGGAAATGGTTCAACTGATCAAGTCCATGTTGAGGTAAGGGTATGTTAACTTAATGAATACTGATCAAATACTGCTGGTGTGTGGTCTTGTGCATAGAGTCCAGGTGATAATTTGGCGTAAAGGAAGGACAAAATAGCGGTTAAACTTAAATATATACTCGTGGAAACGAATAAGGGAACACATGAAAGTACAAGTGTGCCTTTATTCTTTTCCAGGTTTCTTGACAAGGTATGTATTGCTCTGTGAGTGAAATTCTGGAAAAAATATATAGGAAGACTTGTACTTTCATGTGTTCCCTAATTCGTTTCCATGAGTATATAGGAATGGATCGCTGAAAATCAGTGACGACACCCGGTGTTCGCGAGAAGAAACCACACACACACACACACACACACACACACACACACACACACACACACACACACACACACACACACACACACACACACACACACACACACACACACACACACACACACACACACAACACTCTACCGCTAGCACCTACCAATCATTTTCATAAAAGAGTAATTGTTTGCGAACATGTTTTTCAATTTGAATTTATTTAGATATGTTTGATTTTAGTCTTATTCCCATCCGAATTTTTACAATTTATCATTACTTATCCAGTACCTAACCCGTGAAGATCGGGTTAGAACTGGTCTTCAGTAAACAATGCTTGTGGTAAGAGGCGACTAACGGGTTTGGGTGGTCAGGCTCGCTGACTTGGTTGACACATGTCATCGTATCCCAATTGTGTACATTGATGCTCATGCTGTTGATCACTGGATTGTCTGGTCCAGACGCAATTATTTACAGACCGCCGCCACATAGCTGGAATATTGCTGAGTGCGGCGTAAAACTAAATTTTACAATTTATCATTATTTATCAGTACCTGAAATTTAACTGAGTGACTGTTCGGATGCTGATTTGTTGTTGCTGATTTTCAGGCTAGATATACACCAGTCCAACTTTCGTGCAAGTAGGGCTTTTGGAATTGAGTCCAAAGACAACTATAACTTTGACGGTAAGCCGACATTTTTGTAGCATATTGTGAGGTTGTTAATTGCCGCTTAGAACAGTACGTTAGATACATCACAGGGGCGTGTCACGCTTAGAAACAGCGTTAGAAAAACATATAGGTATATAGACCTTACCCTAGTACTATATAAAAGGAAAGGGATGTAACGACACCACCACCACCTCCTCAATCAAAGTTAGATTTCACCACGTAAACTATTTTTAAGGCCCCGTCGAGGCCTACGGATCGAAAGCGAGATGATTTCCCTACAAAATGAGCTATAAATGCCTCCGCAATTCCAAGCCAAAATCATGGATCACCCAAGACAGCGAAAACTCACCTTTTAAATTCATTTATTAATTCCACCCGCTTTGACAGCACCTATGTAGGGCTAGATTCGATCGGCAGCGGCATTCCACGGGTCTAAAAACTTATTGCAACATCTACAAATCATTTCCTTGACAGTAAGCAGACATTTTCTCCAAAACCTCATACTCGCTGGTCGGCCATAGATGGCCTTGACATTTAAGTGATCTGAGCAGATCCGCAGAAACGAAATTGGGCCATCCGATTGGTGGAAAATATAATATACTGTAAGATTTTGACTGTTTGCTAATGGGCGTGAAATATGAACTTTGCAAAAATCCTCTATTTTCGATAATGTACGGAACAGTAAATTGTTAAGAATAGTTTTAGAGGTTGTAAAAATGCATTCGATATTGATTCATTTTTAGGAAGTTATATTTATAAATATTTAACCTTTAAAATTATTCTTACAAATTTACTGCTCAGGTCACTAAAATGGCAAGGCCATCTATGGCCGACAAATGAGTATGATTGCCGATGGTTTTGGAGAAAGTGCCTGCCTACTGTCGAGGAAATGATTTGTAGATGTTGCAATAAGTTTTTAGACCCGTGGAATGCCGCTGCCGATCGAATCTAGCCCTACATAGGTGCTGTCAAAGCGGGTGGAATTAATAAACGAATTTAAAAGGTGAGTTTTAACTGTCTTGGGTGATCCATGATTTTGGCTTGGAATTGCGGAAGTAGCTGTTTTCGGTGAGTCGTGGCGTATAACTTTTGAAATAAGGATCCGATTGTGATCATTTATAGCTCATTTTGTAGGGAAATCATCTTGCTTTCGATCCGTAGGTCTCGACGGGGCCTTAAAAATAGTTTACGTGGTGACATCTAACTTTGATTGAGGAGGTGGTGGTGGTGTCGTTACATCCCTTTCCTTTTATATAGTACTAGGGTAGGGTCTATATACCTATATGTCTTTCTAACGCTATTTCTAAGCGTGACACGCCCCTGTGAGATACATCAGGTGGTGTCAGCTTGATCCTGGAGTGGGGTTATACTTGATGTATTTTCTTTTACAGCCAACATTTTTTTCGACAATGCTTTTAGTGGGAAAGGGAAACAAAGGACAATCAACAAGTATGTTCAGCGACTACACCAGGCAATAAAACAGGCATGCAGGTGAGATTCACCATTAATATGTCAATACCCACACTCCCACAAAGATTCAAGGCTATGTGTTCACTTTCTCTTCAAGAACGTTTTACCTTTTAAAATGATAAATATATCTGCAATTGCCGGATATCAGCACTTTTTTGGCATGCAGCACTTCTATAGTATCCTTATGTTTTTGGTTTTTATATAAAAAATATCTGAGCCTTCAACAGCTGTGACATGATCATGTGTGACCAGTCTGACTTTACATGGTAAGTAGCAATAATTTTGACAAGCTAAACCAGTTTCTTTCCCAACTACAGCCTGGTTCCCGGTGTCTGATGCGTTAAGTTGAAGCGTTAACACAGCAGACCCCGGGAACTATCAGCCTGGGTCTGTTGCGCCTGTCAGTGTCGGAGCGTAGCGCAGGCGCAACAAACCCAGGGAACCAGGCTGTTCCGAGTACACTAAACACTCTGGCACCAGTTCCGCACCAAATGTCACCCCCTTGAAATTATCTGTAGTCACATTCTGCATAAGTATTATATTGAAAATGACAGAAGTAAATATTAATGTGTTTGTAAGTTATAATTACTGGATGGATGTACATTTGATAAACACAAAAAATACTAGTATTACACAAAATCATCCAATCACTGTTACCAGATGGTTCTGTCTGAAAACACTGATGTCAAAAAGTGCTTGTTAACGACTGATTTTGACTTGGCGTAATATAATCTGTAAGAGAGGCTGGAAGATTATAGTTTTAAATTGACCTTCGACAGCTTACGTCCAAATGATTGAATCAAACAGATTGTCCAAGATGTAAATGGGTTGACTTTAATATATTCATATATATTTGAATTGCGTTAATGTTTACAGAGAGGTGTTCCCGGAGGGGAGAAATAGAACTAGATTGTCCCAAGAAAGTAAAAACTCCTTATGGGGGAAAACTAGAATATGCTTTGCCAAATGATAACAAGCTCATGGTACATCTCAAAGACAGTTCTAAAATTCGTCGTAAAAAAGAGATGGAGTCAAGTAAGTATTAATAATATGTGTGACTAAACACTCACAGACACAAACACACACGGGCGCGCACGTGAGATTCCCTAAAGTGTAGTAGAGCATGTACAATTATATTGACACAGAGTAGTGACAGGATATATACTGGACAAAATAAGTTAAAGATATTGGTATTTTTATCATTGATGTTTTATCAGTGTGTGATTGATTGAATCAATAGATCATTATTAATAATTTCAAAATTTACATATATCTCTAACTATTTTTGTCCAGTATATATTATTTATTTGTATATGAATTCACATTTCAATTGCACTAATAATCTTCAAACATCGGAAGCATTTTTTAAAATTCTTATTCCATTAACACTTTAATTTATTACACACTCGTAGAAGCCACATATCATTCTCCTCGTATAATATGCTGGTGTTGAATTTCATACGCGTGTATAAGAATCGATACCACGGTTTGTACCAAGGACAAACTGTTTTCCACGAAACACATGTTAGTCATTCCTGGATGTATGCATGAATGAGCTATTTTACTGGTCAGTGATTGGTGGACGAGATATGCGTCCCTAGCAACCCACAAGACATCCTTCTCCCCTTGCACACAAACATTTCGAAGAAATCCAGGCTTGAAATAGCCAGAACTTACTGGTTGGCAGTGATGCTTGGCGGTATTGCATGTTGGACACTGTTCCGAATGTCTATGGGTCAAAAGGCACCGTTGCCTTGGTGCAGTGTAGGCAACGCGACAACCATACATACTATCTGTTTGATTGGCATTTAGAAGTTGGTGACTAATAAGAAAGTAAGAAAGTTTATGGATAACAACTTCTTTATTATATATGATGCGACGTTTCGGTATAGATTCTTATACCGTTGTCAAGCAAGAGTGAAGTACTACGGCACAGAACAGACTTATATACATGAACAGGGATTAAGTAATAACAACATGTAGGACTGAATGAGGGGGATTAACAATAACAACAAGGCACGGTGGCAATAATGTAGTGACAATAGGAAGCCAATGGTGGTGGAGGTAAAAAACAAGATATACATGCTAATGAGATTAATTAACAATGATGGCTGAGGTGCTCTAATCTGTTGTTTTTATGAGATCATTGTATGCAGAAGGGATGAGATATCCCTGGTCTCTGTTGATTGATGGCTTGTGTCTCAGTTTGAACTGCTTCTGCAAGTTTCCTTTTGGTGAAGTCCTGGTGGTTTTGGATAATATCTCCACATTGTCCCAAATTATGTTTGTGATTGGGGCAGTTGATGATGTGGTCTGATATTGCCGATTTTCTATCAGATTTAGTGGTAACAGCACCAAAACCGGATAGTAAACCATTGAAATATACGTAAATACAGTAGGAAATACATGCCATGACCGGGTTTACGTATGTTTTCAGATATTTCCTAACTTCGGGCATATATTTCATATGAATCTATACCTTTGAAACATATGCTCATCGTACATTTTCGTATGCACAAGCACCTCGTTCATGTATGCCCTGACCGGATTGTCAGGGGATTTCCAAATATGAATTGCAAAACAGATACCCCGGTAAATACATGATCATACAGTATTTCCAATGCATTCCTTTGAATTTCAGTGGGTGCTGAAATTTCCGATTTCGTTCTAAGTTTACTCGGGTTGGAAACATGTGAATTTACTTAGGTGGGGAAACACATGTAAATTTTCAAATTTGCAAATGTTTACACACCTTAGATATTTATGTATCATACCGGATTTCAGGGGTATGTATATGAATGGTTCATACACCATCATGTTACCTGTATTCAAGCAAGATGATCATATGTTTCCATCATGTGAATTACTTGGCTCATGTAATTTCACTTTCACACATTTTAGTACGTTTGAAATCAACGTTCACATGACCTCAATATTCTTATCACCAAAGAGCCTGACAAAGAAAGCGGTATTACGCAAGCTAACACGCCTTATTAAGCTGCACTCGCTCTTGCTACCAGTATCAGTTACGCCTTGTCTGTGGTGTTGGCAAACCTTGTGAGGTGCATGTTTCGAGGGATTGAAAGGTTCAGTGGTGAACAAAGGGCGATGCGTTGCCCCTTTGTCCTAGCAAGTGTCCCTAGCTGCCCCAAAAGAATAGCACTTTATCTCTCTTGGAGCACAATCAAATATGCTACACGAACCAACTCGTAATTTCTTAAGTCTGTTCAGCTCGCGCATCACTACTGTACAATAATTGTGGCAGTACATAATTGGAATATTATTGCACTTGCTGTAATAACGCCATATATAAACTTTAAAGTTTGTTTCACTAACGCAAAAGTATACAATAAGAAACAATGCCATATCAAATTATATATTCTGTGAGACATGAAATGAAAAATTGTTTTTATCGAGTAGCGATTATGACCGGATAGCACAGGCGGGTGCGTTCTCTGAGTATATCATAGACATGTTGGATCTCCGTGCCTTTTGTGAAATTCGTCTATATTGTCCTGTTTAAATTGACGATCCATAACTCAGATTGCGAGTAAATATCACGTAATTAATTGTGATGTCGCATTGCTGTAAATTTCCCTGTCGAAGAAGTCATTCTCACAAGATGTATATTCCCTCGTTTGGAGAAGATCTATGGCTATTACGCCCCAGTGTTGCTAAACATCTTATAGGCCTTTAGTCTGACACAGACGCGGACATCGCATGTTCAGGTTCTGATCTGACAGGGGCTGAAAATATCATTCCGACATGAATACAATATCTCAGTGTTTTCCTAAGTAAGTGGAGATCTTTCTACAACATTGGAAATAACTCTATCGTTGTCCTTCTGATATTCCCCCGAACGAAAGCTCTACCCATTTAGGGTACAATGTGTAAGTTACAGAATTGTAGGGAATAGTCTTAAGACTTTTCTACTTTGACCAAGATTCTTCGAACTTGTAACAGTCGTTTGAGAAGATCAAAAGAGAAAAGGGTAGTGCGCGATGTATATGACGGACGTATATGGAGAACGTTCGAAGAACTTTATAAATACAATAATAGAAATACCGGTTATGTTTAAAACGCACCTTCAATCTGATAGCCAGAGGGATTATTGTGAAAGATCGCAGTATGTATCATCATAAACGGGCCAAGATAAAAGTACATGTCATTCATCTCCACATTATATCCCTTTTATAGACACGGGACATCGTTGTTACAGGTAGGGCAAACACTTTCTTCTAAAGTATCTGCCGGTTTCACGCTACATACATGTGTTCAGATTATCGAGAAAACTAGCGACGCAAGTTCTCCTCCATCACACCAGAGACCACATAATCTATCATATGGCCTTTGATCACACATATAATTGTATAGATACCCAGTGTTTATTGATAGCGATGAAGCAACTTATCAAAATTTACAGCCGACAGTATCATCTGCATTACTCTCTTACATAAGGTGAAATATCACAGGGTTGTCATGGTAACGATAATTTGGCATACTATTTATTGTGTTATTCTTTAATCTGTGATTAGAATTTAAATCAGTTTTGACGTGAGCATGTTAAGAAAAGAGAAGCTGTAAAACGAAATGTATTGTGATCGAACCTATAGGCCTTTGTAAAAGCGAGTTTCAAGCCACCTACATAAAAACCTGTTTTCATGATAAGTATCTGCTAATCCGTGGCACGATTCCGACCATATCATGGGCATGTGTTTGCGAATCATAATCAAATAGTGATGTTACAAGCAGTCCATGCCGCGTCAACAACACATGCAAACAGGGGCGTAGCTACCATTATAAAAAACAGCTCGAGCATTCACATGATCTTTGCTAAAAATAATTTACAGTAAATTACAGTAAACAGGTTATTCTTCATATCATAACTTTCAGTGATGATTGTGTTTCCATCGACATGTATGAGGATGTTTTGTTGCAGTCATGATTATATGTGAATCATCACTGAAATGCAGTTGTTTATTTATCATTTGTTTATCAATTATTTTAGAAAAAACACCAAATACTCGATGTATGGTATTGTATCAATGCAGCTGACATGTATACAATATGTCCAAACATATTTGTATATGAGGAAATCACACTTGAATTTCCATGGTGGTAAGACTTCCGTCCGTAACCCCCAAAACACGTTAAAACTCATCCTTATCGGATGAGGAATATATATTTAGGTGATATGATTTGACTAGAATGAAATTTAAGGGGGGATACAAGCGGAAGTCTTTCCACCATATTTTGAAGCTATTGAAATCATCAAACGTCAAACGATAACTCTTCAGGTCTCATAAAAAATGAAAGTTGGGCAAGCCCTCAATACCACCTAAATATAAGGCTTTGCAGCCCATATTGCTTACACGAAAAAAATGGCTTGCTACGTGCCTGGCAAACGCACGAGAATTGCAATACGGGCCTCTAACCACTGATTCTCCGTGACCTGGAGACACATGTGATTGAGCGTGTGTTGGGACGTCGTCTGTCATACAGACCCTGAAGCAAATATATCCAAGCCCACGCAAGTCTACAAAATGTGGCAAGTCTAGATTTCCACAGCTTCAGGAGAAAGTCTCAGGGCTCCTTTTCCTTATATAATATTCTTTTTTTACTATCAACTTTTTTTCTGTAAAATATGTTCATATCAGAGACTAGTTGTTAATCTAGTTCTGACGGGTAGAAGACAAAAGACAAAATGGATACTAGTGCTGTTACATTTTTTAATTATATATAAACATTCGTCCTTGGCTCGGGATAAATGTATATTTTCCACCAAATGTACATTCGGAGGATATCGAAATCTAGGTTAAGCTATTTGAATCATATTTACAATTAAAAGACCCAAACAATGGTGTGTTGTCCACATTTTTGGTTTTTCATAGTCACAGAACGATATTTTCTCCCCTTCCGTCTCTAGGAAAACTCACTGCAGGGTTCGGGTTATGGAGAGCCATACCGAACACCCACAGCTGGCGGGACCAACATCTCCAGTAACATTTACATCTGCCAACGCTTAATTCGCAAGTGGTGAGGCAATAAGCTAATGAGGCTAAGGGTCCTGTACCATGTTTGTGAAATATCTGTGATGCCTTATATGAAGTCTATCATCTAAGCAAGTCTAGCTATGTATGGCGTTAAGTCACTGCTTGAAGAAATCCTTTAGAATTTTATCTGGTCAATATTAGTATTTCCATCATATCGGAAAATACATAGACTAACGCTTAGTGTCTGAATATATATAATTTTGATAGTAACAAACAAGCCCATTTAAATTGAGCCCCAGGGAGACACGAGATTCAGTCCGGCTAGCCATGGCTGCAGTTAGCTATAGATATGTTTACTTTGTAACCCGACCCCCAAAGTGAGTTAGGGTTCTTGCAGATGTTAACAGACCCTGGACCTGAGGAGATCTAGACTTGCTTCATTTAAGGCTTTAGCATTGCAGAGAGGGCTTGGCAGTAGGGGAAATAATGTGGTTCAGGGACTGTGAGACAGACTAAACAGTAAGGAAAATAATGTGGTTCAGGGACTGTGAGACAGACTATAAAATGCATGGCAACCTACACTTCATTGTGACTATCATTTTAAAACACAAGGGTTATTTCCTTTGCGTTAACTGACAGGCTTTCGGTGTCAAATTATTTGGAACTCCAACCAAAGGTTATGGTCTGCTGTCTGGAAATATGGCCTTTTTGTAATGCCATAATGATAAGTGATTGTTGTACATATGATGTTTTTGAAGGATAATATCAGCGTACTAATACTTTGCACGTGTTTCCCCCCACTCTTTCCATACCCGTAAAAGTTAACTTTCCAATATATGCCTGTAAGAAAATACTGTAAAGTAATGGGATTGCTGAATTTGGCCACCGGAGGTAGTGACCACAGCACTCTGGTTATACTGCATTGGGAGAGGACAGAGCTTGGCAAGATGCCAATAAATATGCTTGTCATTTAAACCTTTATCTGATATTTGTGGAATGTGATTTTATAATTGAAGATGCTTCCTGCACCTGTAGCCCCAATATAGATGTTGTTAGTCTGTGAATCTTCCAAATTACTTCGTCCCTTTCTTTCAATTGAAATTAAGATCTTTGCCTTTTATCAAAATAATATATTTTCAGTCTTAATGTGCCTTTGTCGGGAATCAAACACCGGTTTTTAACCTGACAGGCGAACGCTTTAGCCACGAGCATACCCCATCATTCCTTGATACTGTTGGTACATTTATTATACATTCAAGATTGAACCCAGTTTTGTCACCATATATCCTTCAGTTTTTATGTTAGTGACATGATCTGCACACTGATAATTTAAAAAGTGGAATATAAATAATGATTGATTGCGATCTTTATCCAATTTAGTTTTCCATTGATCTAGTAATTTTCAGTTTCTGTTTCCACGAAATTCTGTACGCAGGTACTTTTAACAGTTTCACCCAATAACAGTAACGCATACAGATAATACGTTTCGGTACTTTGATAGATTAATAAGTACATATTATATTCTATGATATTGAGATACCAAAATGATTAACATGATTATATAATGTATAACAAATTAGACAGCAAAAAGCAAAAGCAAAAAAGAAAACGCATGAGCAACATAATGCTGTCAGGTAGTAAGCTTTCAACAATTATCGAAACTGCTTAGTTATGAGCTAATTGCAATCACTACAATTTCCTATAGTCTGCCCAACAGATGGAAACAAAATAGGTCTAATATGAAAATTATGAGCTAATTGCAATCACTACAATTTTCTTTAGTCTACCCAAGAGGTGGAAACAAAATATGTCTACAGTATATTCCGTCGGGTAACTGAAATTATAGAAAACGTCCGTATGGAATAATACCTGTATTCCGAATCAAAAAGAGGTCACACCAAGTATGTGCATGTTCACACATTTACAAAAGTAATTTACACCGGGAATCATTAATACATTGTAATCATCTTTTATGAAAGTATAGATAATGAAATTTGTTCAGTTATGATCAGTCGGATAACTCATACAAGTGAGCACTAAAATAAGGGACCTACCGGTTCATGTCTGTGTGAACACATTCGTCTAAATCTGTGTTTTATTGTAATTAGCAGTGTCTCCTTGTATAGCATATATAAGAAGTGTACCTAAGGTCAGTTATTTAAACTGTTATGTAATTTCCATTACAAAAAGTATAAATGATATTACCTATTGGTCAGAAAGACTTATCAGTACCCCAACACCGACCACCGCCACCACCCCACCTAGGCCTACCCATGCCACACCCTCTCCCTCGCACACACACACACTCCCTAACATACATATCGCTCTGGCCCATAGACTCGATATTTGAACCTTTTAAACAGACACCATGTGTATGTCAAGAAAGACACGCACGTTATTAGTGGTGCTCAGTCATGGGTATCACTTCACCATGTGTTACTAATTATCTCAGTACATTATGGCGTGGTCGGACGCGCTAACGAACCCTATGTGACAGTTACATTACAGCACCATTGAAATACATGTTAAAGTAGTGCTAATCTTGTAACACTATACTTACTCATTTCCAACCATTTACGCATGTACAAAATATATGACAAACCTAACCCTGGTCATACGAGATTTCAAGGGTATTGAAATGCATGTCCTACAATCACAGCATTTACATATGTTACACATGTTAGGAAACACATGGAAACAATGGCCAGATTTACACACCTGTGAAATACATGTAAATACCGAGTCGAATGTATGTTTATTTTAACACCCTTTTAAACGTGTGTAAATCTGACGGCCAGATGATACGTAGATTTCAAACGTTGTTCATATGGCCGCCGGATGAAACGAGTATTTCCTGACGTTAGTAAATTTGGGTAATACAGTCATTTTGTGTGGTGTGCTAAGTCATTTCTCCCAGATACAGTAAGATTGTGGAATTGTTTGTCTACCGATTATAGAGAAACGGCTACTTTGGGTAGTTTTAAGAAACAGATTAATGGGTCAAATAATAATAATAGTCAAAATTACTTCAATTTAAGCTTTGGAACAAGATTCTGTCAGATTATCCATTCACGCCTCAGGCTCGGTTGCAGCGATTTAAACGCACATAAATATCAACGATTTATATCCTCAAATCCCTCTTGTTCTTGTGGCTACTGTTATGAAGATCCAATTCACTATTTATTTTCGTGCGTTAATTACACTGACATAAGACATAAAATGCACTTCTATACTAAAGGATATGACATCAAATCAATACTATACGGCCACTCTCATGGATCTACTAAAGGTAATCTTGAATTATTAGAATCTATCCATTCTTTCATTGTACTGTCAGGCAGATTTGAGTTGTAATATATACTAGTAAACGAAATTGCACTTACTATTAAGTATTTTCCGACACTAATGGTTCTAACATTAAAAGTGGCATGTTACAGTTTATGATTGTTACATTTCCAGAAAGCTATTGTTTATTGTTTGTTGATATCATGTTTTTCTCCGTACGATTATTATATCTATAATATATCTGTATTCCGGAGCGGTATTCATATAAGCACCGTACTGCTTGTTTACCAATCCGGTTCCTCTTTTGGAAATAAATATGTTTAAACCAAGGAAACTTGCAGAAGCAGTTAAAATCCGGAGACACAAGCCATCAATCAACAGAGGCCAGGGATATCTCATCCCTTCTGCATACAATGATCTTATAAAAACAACAGATTAGAGCACCTCAGCCATCATTGTTAATTAATCTCATCAGCATGTATATTTTGTTTTTTACCTCCACCACCATTGGCTTCCTATTGTCACTACATTATTGCCACCGTGCCTTGTTGTTATTGTTAATCCCCCTCATTCAGTCCTACATGTTGTTATTACTTAATCCCTGTTCATGTATATAAGTCTGTTCTGTGCCGTAGTACTTCACTCTTGCTTGACAACGGTATAAGAATCTATACCGAAACGTCGCATCATATATAATAAAGAAGTTGTTATCCATAAACTTTCTTACTTTCTTAACCATACATACTAGTTTGCCATACATAATAGAAAGATCTTTATTCATGAAGATTGTTGGCCTCCGGCCCATGTTCATACAGGTAGTCAGTCAGCATATAATGTATATGACGACCAAAATATATAGAATAATAATTAAGCAACAAGTTATTCTGAAGCAATTTGCATAGTAAATATACATTGCCAGCTTTCTTACGACTTAACATCCGTTGCAGCCAAAGGCATATTATATACAATGTATATTACGCGTAGGGTATGATGTATATTTAGTATGTATGTACTTCTCACGCAGAGTTTTATACCGGACAAAAACCATCAAAAAGTTGTATTAATCTTCGATGGCACACATTATGCTACATAGGGTTAGATCAACAATGTTGTTGTTTGGATGGGTGCCTAGCTACCAACGTTCAACGTAATTATCCTGGAGGCAGGCTCTGTTGCTTTGGCATATAGCTCTGTTCTAAACACCATCGTCCCCATCTTCATCACTTGAGCAGGCATGGTATCTCAGTGGGATAGCACTATAAAACCAGCTTAAGTCTGGGCTAGGACAAGCAGCTGCACATACACACGCATGCACGTCGTCATATGAGCAAAATATTCTCAAGTACGACTTTAAACCCAATTTCACCTCACCTCACCTTTCTTGAAGAGCAAACTAACCAACTAACGATAACTAATAACTCACATACGATAGTCGCAGCGCGAGAGCTTAGTGAAAAAGGGCTGGATCTTAATGCTGTACACTGACAGGTGATGTACATGTACTACTTCCTGAAGCATGGCATCACAGACAATTCCAACTATGAGACCAAAGAAGCGGTTGAGGAGAAGGCTCAGAACACCTTCCTGTTGGCCCTTGACGGAGATGTGGACTTCCAGCCTGATGCTCTTCGTATTCTCCTGGACAGGATGAAGGCCAACCCCTATATAGGCGCTGTTTGTGGCAGGATTCACCCCGTAGGGTCTGGTAGGCATCCCTCACGTTTAGAAAAACTGAACCATCAAAACTCTGGGCCGCATTTCACAAAGCGATCATAGCATTATGACTATCGTAGATTTTTCAGTCATAGCGCTAAGATCGCTTTGTGAAACAGGCCCCCGGTCTTCAGAAACCCATGCTTGTCTTAAAAGGCGTTAAGCTTGGTTTCGACGGGATCGGGTGGTCAGGCTCGTTGACTTATGTGACGCATGCATGTCATCGTGTCCCAACTGTGTAGATCGATGCTCATGATGTTGATCGCTGGTCTACAAACACCGTGGGTTGCTGTAGAAAACCTCATGGGAATGATCGTCGGTCTATGTAGTGACATGTCAATATGGAAATAATGTATACTGAGCAGCACACATTAACAGTTACTCGTGAAGATACGGATTAGAATTGATCTTCAGTGACCCATGCTTGTCGTAAGAGACGATTAATGTCATCGGGTGCTCTGGCCTGTATATCAATGCTTATGCTGTTGATCACTTGATTATCTGGTCTAGACTCGAATACGTTCAGACCTCCGCCATATAGCTGGAATAATTAAACCACAAACAAAACAAAAACAAACAACACAAAAAGCACAGGGTCACTGAATGATTCCAGGTCCTATGGTGTGGTACCAGAGGTTTGAGTATGCAGTGAGTCACTGGCTCCAGAAGGCCTCCGAGAACATGCTGGGGTGTGTCTTGTGCAGCCCCGGATGTTTCAGCCTCTTTCGGGGTTCTGCACTCATGGATGCCAACGTGATGAGGGCGTATACCAAGACGGTGTCGGAGGCCGCAGAGAAGATACAGTATGACTTGGGTGAGTTGGTTTGTGACGATGACGTCACGCTTTTGTTGCTGCAGTTGAGTCTGAGCCAGGAATTCACTGATCTTTCTGAACTTGTAGTTTAATAATGTCGTTATGTTAAACTCTAGACGAATTACATCGCAAGCATAACATGGTTTAAGTAGAAGAAACCATTTGGGGATTCGTGAATTCTCGAGAGATTTATCCATTGCATACCCCATATGTTTACCTAGGATACTGCAAGAAGCACACATCGTTTAACGATCATTTAAGGCAAATAAGAGTCACTATTCTTCTAATATCTCAATCAGTTTCACTACATACTGGTGAGGGAGTTTTGCGCAATTAGCAATATTCCAGCATACCAAGGCGGGTAGTCTCTCGTACAGACCCTGAAGCAAATATATCCAAGAAAGCCCATGCAAGTCTAGAAAATGTGGCAAGTCTAGATTTCCTCAGCTTCTGAAAATGAAGAAAGTCTCAGGGCTCCTTTTCATTATATATATATATATTTTACTATGAACGTTTTTTTTCAGTAAAATATGTTCATTTCAGAGACTAGTTGTAAGTCTACACGGCGGGGGAAAACCAGGAATGGGCTTCACACGTAGTGCCCATGTGGGAAATCGAACCCGGGCCTTTTGGTGATCCCCACCGTAATATTGCTGGAATATATCTAAAAGCGGTGTAAAATCAAATTCACTCATAGGCCCCCACTGATTGTGTTGCTGTGCCGGAAGTATACAAAACTAGGTCGTCAGCGCTTGGCTCAACTACCTCCGGCGATCTGATTGGTTAATAGCATGACAACAAATGCACGTGCGAATATGAAAGGGAAATTTAAAGTTTGACAAGATGTCACGGTCTCATGTTTTATCTTGGTAAGAATAATCTTAAAAACAAGAAAAATATTTTTTAAAGAAAAAACATTCAGTGTTATGCGTTAGCCAAGCTAGTGATGCCAAGCGCTGACGACCAAGTTTTGTTTACTTCCGGCATAGCAACTCGATCTTTGGCGATTTAATAAAACAACAACAAATGCATCCCCACGGGAAGCATGTGTATATGCCTCCTACACGCATCGGAAATATGGACAAAAGTTTTTGATACTTGTGAGACCTTTCGATATATTGATGGATGTGTGTGCGCATTATCCGATTTTCGATCTTGTCGCCGTGTTCCTGTGATGAACCTTCATATATTATATATTAGTAGGGTTGCTGGATTTTCTGACCCACAGTGGGGGCCTATGCACTCACTAAAACACATGCTGCTGATTTTCTTTCTTACCCTATGTTAAGGTGAAGACAGATGGCTATGCACGTTACTTCTACAACAAGGACACCGAGTGGAGTACACTGCCGCATCCGACTCCTTCACCTTTGCCCCCATGGATTTCATAGAATTTTTCAAGCAGAGGCGACGATGGACGCCCTCCACGATGATCAACGTCCTTGACCTGATCATGTCCTGGAAAACGACTACCAGAAACAATTCTGACATCTCCATCCTGTACATCATCTACCAGCTGGGACTGTTTGTCTCGTCCGTCGTCACCCCGGGGACGGTCTTCATGCTGATTGTCGGGGCTCTCAGTTCCAGCTTCCAGAGCATTACCCTAACGACATCGTTTCTAATTAACTTGGCACCACTCGTCATATTTGTGATTCTCTGTTTCAAGACCAGTACAAAAACCCAGGTGAGGTCATCTCGTTGAATGTTGTCAGTGAGAACTCAGTGTTAGTTTAAATTAAAGGTGTTTCAGTGAAAGTTACAACATACCTGATACACGTACATATTTGTTTTTGTAACCCGTATGGTATTCTAACAATTATCATTTACTACCCTCACCCGTGAAGATCCGGGTATGAAAGAATGAGACCGAAGCCTCTTCATCATGCAAGCGTGAAATATTTGACTGGATGGTTTGTGGGTTAAGAGTGAGTGAGTGAGTTGAGTTTTACGCTGCACTCAGCAATATTCCAGCTATATGGCGGCGGTCTGTAAATTATCGAGTCTGGACCAGACAAACCAGTGATCAACAGCATGAGCATCGACCTGCACAACTGGGAACCGATGACATGAGTCAACCAAGCCAGCGAGCCTGACCACCCGATCCCGTTAGTCGCCTCTTACGACAAGCATGGGTTACTGAAGATTAATTCTTACCCGGACATTCACGGGTATGTAGGTCCAGAACCTGGTCAGGCTTGCTGACTTGGTTGCTGACACAAGCTCTTCAGTAGTTGGGTTTATACCATCTTATATCTTGGTTTAAGCTTGATATTACCTATGAGCTATAACCTGTTGAATATCAGCCTTCAGCAGCTTTGTGTAATACACGTATAACCATGTATAACCGCGGTGATCCGAGTTTCAATAATTATTGGTCAACAGTTGCCTATGATTGTGGAAAGAGGCAAATAACGAGACACGCTGATTTGGCTAATGCATGTAACCGTATGCCATTTGTGCAGATTGATGCTTATTATATTAAGCACTAGATTGCCTGGTCCAGACTCGATTCTTTACAGACCAACCCGTGAAGATCCGGGTTAGAATTTGCCTTTAGCAAACCCATGCTTGTCGTAAGAGGCGACTGACGGGTGGTCAGGCTCGCGGTTTGACAAGTGTCATCGTATCCCAATAACGATAGATCGATGCTGTTGATCAGTGGATTGTCTGGTCGGACTCGATTATTGACAGACCGACGCCATATAGATGGGATATTGCTGAGTTAAACAAGAAACGCAAACAAAACAAACCCAAATGAATTCAAAGACCAACTTACCAGTCTTCTTACGTTCTGGTTCATCGTTCCAGCTGACGTTCGCCCTAGTTCTGACAGTATGCTACTGCCTGCTTATGACAGTGGTGCTGGTCGGAATTATCAAACAGGCAGCTGAGAGTGGCTTCTGCTCCATCTCGACCATCTTCCTGACAGGGGTTGCTGGCATCTTTGTCATCTCTGCTCTGCTCCATCCTCAGGAAATAACATGCCTCTTCCACGGAGTATTGTACTTCCTTCTCATCCCAAGCACAACCCTCCTGATGGTCATTTACTCTCTGGTCAACTTGAACGACGTGTCATGGGGAACGAGAGACAGTGGAGAGTCCAGCAAAGTGCAGGGAAAAGATGAACCGAAGAAGAAAATGAAAACTTCAAAGAAATTGCTGTCGCTACTACTGTCAAGGGTAACTGGTGGTGATGGTCTAGAAGAGCCTCTTCTTGAAGGAAATCAGGTGGTTGAAGATAGACCATCGGATGAGAATAGTCCACAGGGGAACACTTCGGAGGAGCAAAATGATTTGCCAGACGGTGAGTTACCCATATTTTTGTAACCCTCTTTGTACTTTTAACCCATGAAGACCCGATATAGAATTGATCTTCAGCAAACCCAGGCTTGTCGTAAGAGGTGACTAACGGGGTCGGGTGGTCAGGCTTGCTGACTTTGTTGACACACGTCATTGTATCCCAGTTGCGTGGATCGATGCTCATTCTGTTTATCATTAAATTGTCTGGTTCAGATTCGATTATTCACAGACCGACACCATATAGCTGGAATATTGCCGAGTGCGGCGTTAAACAACAAACCAACTAACCAAATCCTTGCACTATTAAACTCGCTGTAATTGAATCCTTGGAGCTCTTGATGACAGAACATCACCCCAAGGTCATGCGATTCAGCTTATACTAGTTTATTTGTGTAATACAAATCGAGCTGTAAACAACTCATCTTTTGCACAGCAACGATTTAATCACGCCAGTTTCATAATCTAAATTAAAGTAATGGATTAAGACAATAACCGATGTGTATTTCTTGCTGCAGGAGACAAGACCAATGACAACGACCTTTTGGATCCTTATCGAGGCCGTCGTGAGAATTTGTCCGAAGATGAGAACATATTTTGGTCAAACCTTATCAGTGAATACCTGGAACCTATAGATGAAAAGGATGACACGCTTACAAAGAACCTGGCTGCACTTCGGAACACAGCTTGTCTTGGCTTCATCCTTATCAATGCAGTGTTTATCGTTCTTCTATTCGCACTAGAGAGCATAGCACAGCATACGCCAAACCTGGCCTTTGAACTGCCCTGTCCGGATCCAACATTTAAGCCGGAAAAGGTACAACCATTATCAATAGCTTTCATAGTGGTGTTCGGGTTGTTGTTGCTGGTACAATTTATCGCTATGCTATTTCATCGGTTTTCAACCTTGCTGCAAATCATTGCCGGTAAAGAGATTCACTTTAGTTACATTTGGAAACGAAAAGGAACCAATAGTGATGTCCAGCTTGAAGAGTTGATGAGGCTAATCCATGACTATGAAAACAAGAGTTCAGACACAACAACAATATCGACGGATGACGAAAAGAAAGAGGACAGAAGAAGGAGGTATCGACTGAAAAGCATGAAAAGTGACCTCGGTAACAGACATCTTTGGCACAAAATGTGCCAAATAGCAATTGAGCTGTACAATAATCGGAACCGTGATTTCGCCCTTGATGAAGCTGTGAGGGAGGAATTTGAAAACCTTTCCTTGATGTCGAGGAGGACAATTGAAAACCTGGTGAGAAAGGCAATTGATCAATTGTTGAAAAAAGGGGCTAACATAAACCCGATGCCGTTTACCGAAACGGTTTTGGCGGAACTAAACAGGAGGGAGATTCGGGTTGAGGAGAAGACTAAAGGAGAACCCAAAACCTTAAATTCAGTATTTGGGTTGACCGTTTATGACAAGAAACGCAGACGACAAACTGTTATTCCTGGAGGAACATTGGGATCATATGGATACTGGAGCGAGGCATCAAGAAACACAACTGTTTCACAAGTACGTACCTCATACAGCGTTAAAGAAGAGATAGAACCTGACTATGACTAGTAGAATATGTTGTGTTGCATATGGAGGTGTTGCAGAAACATGTTTTCTCATACATTATAACGTACTCGAGATGAAACAGTCATCTAATAAACACAGTCTTAGACGGGGAGGTGGGTAGCCTAGTCTTTTATGCGTTCGCTTGTGACGCCCAAAAACCGGGCTCGATTGCCCACATGGGTACAATATGTAAAGCCCATTTCCGGTGTATCCAACCGTGATATTGCTGGAATATTGCTGAAAGCGGCGTAAAACTAAACTCACTCACAGGGTGTCCTCCCATTTGCGAGAACTCCCAGTTGTGAGACACATTAATTAATGGTTCAATGCCCACAGGTGGTGCTTCCCCATCCCTACGATGAAAGTGGGAACAACCCTGTTGCTGAAGAGTACCCGCAGGAGGCATAGTTCATTAATGAGTTGATTAACACAGAAGACATTGTTCGTTGAAGAGCATTTATTGTTTTCAATAGATACTGAAATACTGAAAAAGATTATCGTGAACTGGTGATATATTCTACTTGTTGAAGGCCTGCCATAATGGTGATCGGAAAGAGCAGTCAAAGGTTAATAAGTACATTTGGATTATTGTTATCTACACAATTGTTTGTAAAGCCATTTATCTCGAGTAGGTTAATTACTTTATCTTTTAGAGTTTCATTAAGTTACCTCCACAAGAATCAGATAAATAGCTAATCCATAATGAGCTTGGGTTCATCCATTCTATCAGGTAGGCGAGTAAGGTGTGTTTTCTTTGCTAAATACCTACTCCACTGTCTCACAACTGGGAGTTCTCACAAATGGGAGTAGACCCACTCACAGTGTCACAGGTTTGTTTTGTTTTGTTTGCTGTTTAACGCCGAACTAAGTAATATTCCAGCTATATGGCGGCGGTCTGTAAATAATCGAGTCTGGACCAGACAATCACGTAATCAACAGCATGAGCATCAATCTACTGAGATACGATGACATGTGTCAACCAAGTCAACGAGTCTGACCACCCGATCCCACTAATCGCCTCTTACGACAAGCATGGGTTTTTGAGGACCCATTCTAACCGGGATCTTCACGGGTATAACACAAGTAGTACCTAAGAAATTACATAACCATGTTTGTTTTCAAGGGTAAATTGTCAGTTTAACTCAAAGCCTAATTACAGTGATTAATATTGTATTTCTTTCTGATAAAAGTACAAATGTACCTTTGACTGAACGAGCCCAGCCGGATATAAGTATACTGTGACTTCATATCCGGTGCGCTCTCGCTCTGTGCGAGTGTTGGGTTAGTGAATGTACACGTGTTGATACTGAGTTTGAGTTCATACAGTTTGCCATCTTATGAATTGCAATTGTTAATTAAAGTGTAAGCGTGATCTGTGTATGTTGTGATGGTTTTGTTGCAATTACATAATGACTCCATCTTTGTTTTATAAACAAAGATCGTGACGATATCCATTGATAGAATTAGTTGTGCTGTGTTCTGAGTTGCAATAGTTTCAATTGTGGATACAGATTATTTATACCCAAGCGTCTTAAACTTTAAGGGGCCCAGCATGAAAATCATATTCTGGATTTGATTGTTTGTTTTGAGTTGTTCATTGTTTATAATCTATTGAAACAAACTGTCATCACATCTTTGGTCTTGGCACTGGGATTATATTGTAAGGCAGGTGGGATGTCACATGGAACTCAAATAACTTGTACAAAAGATCAAAGTGTGTATCACCAGGGGGAAATATATGATACTACAATCGCTCTATTTTCTTTAGGGACGGTGGGGTAGCCTAGTGCTCGTCACGCCGAGGACCCGGGTTCGATTCCGAACATGGGTACAGTGTGTGAAGCCCATCTCTGGTGTCCCCCGCTGTGATATTGCTGGATTATTGCTAAATGCGGCGTAAAACCATAAGCACTCACTGTTATAAACCTCAGCTTGATTTTTTTATTCTTACTCTACATTGTTCATTTAGGAATAGGTTTATTTTTTTTATGTTTCATCTTTCATTTGTAGGAATGTACAATGTGCCCTATGTGAGTTATTAGATACCGAACATGGGTACAGTGTGTGAAGCCCATCTCTGGTGTCCCGCTAAATGCGGCGTGTAACCATACTTACTACCTCATTCACTATTTTCTTTACTGCCAAAGTAATAAGCAACAGGTGGTGATATAACGAAAAAAGGTTACACTAATGGTTGTGATAGTTCCCCAAACATTGGAATGTCAATAGTAGCTATAAAGTGAACTTCTTTATGATGTCAACAAGTTAGCACGTAGTATGTTGTCAAAAAGAAAGCATGCAGCATGTTGTCAACAAGAAAGCATGTAGCATGTTGTCAATAATAATGCATGTAGCATGTTGTCAACAAGAAAGCATGTACCATGTTGTCAATAAGAAAGCATGTAGCATGTTGTCAATAAGAATGCATGTAGCATGTTGTCAATAAGAAAGCATGTAGCATGTTGTCAATAAGAAAGCATGTAGCATGTTGTCAACAAATATGCATGTAGTGTATTGTCAACAAGTAGGCACGCAGTATGTTTTCAGACAAGTGAAGGAGTAGAATGTTAACAAATAAATGTGTAGACTGCTGTCAACAAATAAGCATGTAGTATATTGTCAACAAATAAGCATGTACAATGTTGTCAAAAGGTGAACATGTATATTGTCAACAAATAAGCATGTACAATGTTGTCAAAAGGTGAACATGTATATTGTCAACAAATAAGCATGAAGAATGTCAAAAAGTGAACATGTAGTATATTGTCAATAAATAAGCATGTAGTATATTGTCAACATGTAAGCATTTAATATATTGTCAACAAACAAGCATGTAGTATATTGTCAACATGTAAGCATTTAATATATTGTCAACAAACAAGCATGTAGTATATTGTCAACATGTAAGCATTTAATATATTGTCAACAAATAAGCATGTAGTATATTGTCAACATGTAGTATATTGTCAATAAATAAGCATGTAGTATATTGTCAACATGTAAGCATTTAATATATTGTCAACAAACAAGCATGTAGTATATTGTCAACATGTAAGCATTTAATATATTGTCAACAAACAAGCATGTAGTATATTGTCAACATGTAAGCATTTAATATATTGTCAACAAATAAGCATGTAGTATATTGTCAACATGTAAGCATTTAATATATTGTCAACAAATAAGCATGTAGTATGTTAGCATGTTTGTTGTTTTGGGTATTTGTAGGACTTGCTTCCAAACACACACTACTGTCTACCCTGAAATGTCACGTGTTTCCATGTGTTTATATGAGTCTTAATAAATATTTTGTGAATTGAATCCGAACACGTGTTACGGTGGTATTTTCACCAGGGGCGACAGTGTATCCCAGTGTTCGCTGGCCAAACCGAGTGTCGGCCTTAGTACAATGTGTGAAGCTAATGGCTGATGTCCCCGCCGTGATGTTGCTGGAACACTGTTCAGAACGACGTAAAATCACGCTCATTGTCACCATTTAATCTTGAATTAAATAAACAAACAATAGGATCACAATATCGTTATATATCTATTTGGTTTATTGTCAATGTCATATTTCAGACGTTAACATCCTTCTGGCAAGCCATCAGTGTGGTGTCGTAAACATGTCCTGCCTACAATAAAGTGTTGCCTCATTACATACAAAAATATATTCAATGAATGCATACATGCATACTGATTCAATGAACAATGAATTCGCATCATCATTTGTCTGTCTTGGTTGTTACTTTGGAGATCTGTGTCGAAAAAGGCACATTTATTGATTTGCAAAGATACTATGTTGATATACACATCGGCTTTATATTTACAAGTTTGTTTTAGATCATTTTTTTAAGAGAATAAACTCATGTAGAAGTATTCTCTTGGTTCATTGTTTGGATATCATAATGCTAATATCACACATTTTCATTTGAAAAACAAACACATGATCGTTCGTCAAAGGGCGATAACAGTTAGCTGTGTTTCCTTGGAAAATATTATTCATCAGTTGAGTTTCAATATTTCTTTCCGAACAGAAGAGAGAAAAGTAATTAAAGCGCCGTCCAATTCAAAGGTCAAATGACAACCAGGTATTTAAGAAATAGATATTTTACAGATTGAACATTCAATATGAGCACAGGGGAAGTATTGAAAAATATTATATTTCAAAATGACAAAGAATTTCAACATTTGTAACGAACTGTTTTAAGTTAATGGTTCAACACTTTTTATAAAAATCATACCCCAATAACATTATTATTATATTAAATACTGAAAATAACAGAGGGTTCTTTTACTAAAAAATAAAAGTATTAAATACTTACCAGTGAGCTCTGCAGTAGGTTCGGCAATGTTCGTCTATTTCCGGCGTGGAATGGTGGGGCCAGGTGGCGTTGTTATCCTTGAGACACTGCATCTCACACACCTGCCAGGGAAGGAGGAGCTGACCCAGCACGGGACCTGGGGTGGGGCACATACTTACGATCACAAACAAGGGAGTAGTCATATTATATCTGAGTGAGTTTAATTTTACGCCTCACTCAGCAATATTCCAGCTATATGGCGGCGGTCTGTAAATAATCGAGTCTGGACCAGACAAACCAGTGATCAACAGCATGAGCATCGATCTGCGCAATTGGCAACCGATGACATGTGTCAACCAAGCCAGCGAGCCTGTCCACCCGATCCCGTTAGTCGCCTCTTACGACAAGCATGGGTTACTGAAGATTCATTCTAACCGGGACCTTCACGGGTAATTTTATATCTGAACGGTACCACCACAACAACTATCGCTTCTACTACTACCAACGGGGCGGTGGGGTAGCGTAGTGGTTAACGCGTTGGCTCGTCACGCCGAAGACCCGGATTCGAAATCCCACATGGGTACAATGTGTGAAGCCCATTTCTGGTGTCCCCCGCCGTGATGTTGCTGGAATATTGCTAAAAGCGGCGTAAAACCAAACTCAGTCAGTCAGTCAGTCAGTACTACTACCAACATTACTAAAAAAAAACTACTACTACTACTACTACTACTACTACTACTACTACTACTACTACTACTACTACTACTACTACTACTACTACTACTGCTACTACTGCTGCTGCTACTACAACTACTACGAAATAGTTCTCAGTATCCTGCTATGCTAGGCCTTCTGATGGCGGGGTGAATGTAGCAGGGCGTGGTGTCATCACAGAGATGACATCCTTACCTTGTCAGATCCAGTCAGCGGACTTTCTGATTCATGATCTGACAAGGTAAGGATTTTATGGCACCATTTTGGGAGGCAATATAGCGGCCCTAAAACTTTCGAATCCCTTGTTAACTCTATGCGATGACACTTCGCTCTACTACTACTACTACTACTACTACTACTACTACTACTACTACTACTACTACTACTACTACTACTACTGCTACTGGGGCGGTGGGGTAGCCTAGTGGTTAAAGTCTTCGCACGTCATGCCGAAGACCCGGGTTCGATTCCCCACATGGGTACAATGTGTGAAGCCCATTTCTGATGTCCTTCGCCGTGATATTGATGGAATATTGCTAAAAGCGGCATAAAACTATACTCACTCACTCACTATTGTCTACTACTACTACTACTACTACTAACAGCAACAACAGCAACAACACGATACTACTTCAACAACAACAACAACAGCACTGGTAAAAACAACTACTACCACTACAACCATCGATTCAGTACTTCAACTTCAGTCTCGCCTCAATATATCTGCTACATTACTTGTTTCCATACGTTTTCGGAAGGCAGTGCTGTAACTTCATCGATTCAGTACTTCAACTTCAGTCTCGCCTCAATATATCTGCTACATTACTTGTTTCCACGCTTATGTTATGCCTATGCTAACTTACCAAATTACTGGTTTATGTGGCTTTACTCAAACTAACTTGCTGAGTGTGGCGTAAAACCCAACTCACTCACTCAAACTAAGTACTAGTATATGTATGTATGTATGTATGTATGTATGTATGTATGTATGTATGTGTGTGTGTGTGTGTGTGTGTGTGTGTGTGTGTGTGTGTGTATGTATGTATGTATGCATGCATGCATGCATGTATGTATGTATGTATGTATATATGTATATATATCAGTGAATACATACCAACAGTCAGTAGAACGCAGACAAATCCAAACAAGCGAGACATAATGCTTGATCTCACTAAGACTAGCACATTATTTGACAGTGTGCTGCTAACCACTGATAAGATAATACTGTGCTATTCTCGTGTAATTTTACTCTTATCTTGCAGTTGGGTATATTTAAGAATCCACTGAAAAGGCTGACCTGACATTTTATCGAATGAAATAAAGTCCCTCTTCTGTCAACATTAAAATATGACCTCAACATGGGTGAAATTATATATGATCTAGAAGGTCCTGTTTAAATCACATTGCGTCAGGGTTTAATAATTATTCAGTTGTGTAAATCTGAGACCATTTGAGATCACGACGTATTTCATTATGCAGACCGGGGCGGTGGGGTTGCCTAGTTGCGTTCACTCGTCACACCAAAAACCCGGGTTCGATTCCGAACATATGTATAATGCATAGGCGGATCCAGGGGTGTGTGGGGGGGTGCCCCCCCCCCCCCGTGCTGAAAGTTTGTTAAATGACCATTGAAACTCGGGTGAAAATGAAGTGTGTACCCCTCCTTTTCTCAATAGTGCACCCCCAACCCCTTTTCTCAAAAGAGCGGTATCCGCCCCTGCTATGTATTAAGCCCATTTCTGGTGTCCCCCGCCATGATATTGCTGGAATATTGCTAAAAGCGGGATAAAACCTCATATTCTGTTATATACTTTGTTTAACCATGATGGTAATCAACGAATCGGTTTTGTTTTATCTACCAATATGTTTTGTTTATCTTATACACCAAACGAATGAAATATCTAGTAGAAACTGTTTAGAAACATATGATTAAAAACATAAATATTTCGACGGGGTTTGAACTCAAATTACTGATATGACAAGTTACTGGGGGAGATTGTCATAAGAGTTATGTCCCTTGAACTAACATTCGGAAATGTTCGGCTGTTTACGATAACACTCAATGCTATCTTAATATCCGAGATCTGTATATATCATATAGCAAACTTCCGATTATATTCAACTTCCGACCGACACTCACACCCATTTCATTTATCGATGCTGTAACTGAACAACAAGATGCATCGTGAACTACAAGTAGAATGTAATTTTCAATAACGGTTTTGTATATTGTGGAGGATTTCCATGTTTTTGCAGTTGTGCCTTTTGTACTAGGTTTGCCAGTGGCCTTGCAAACCCAGGTAAGTAAGCCATCAGGATCGTCACCTGTCAGAATATGAATATCAAAATAAAGATCCATATCCTCATGTTATTGGTTTTCGGACAATTTAAAACATCCGCTGTTGTCTTGCTTATCGCATGAACATTGTGAAAGATGTCACTAACCTATACAAGAAAACTTTACCCAAAACACAATCCATGCATCATTCAAGAGTTTTCAATGTCTGTGAAGCAACACCCATGTTACAGCACTGCCTTCCGAAAACGTATGACGTCCGAAAACCTATGTTGTAGTTTTCGGTTTTGTTTGTTGCTCAATGGGGGTCTGTAACTACTCCTGTCTGGATCAGACTCTCCAGTGATTGGAATCATGAGCATCGATCTACGTAGTTCATATGAATAAACTCGTATTCCAGCCAAGGCCAACATCAAGGCGAACACAGCTTGGTATAGTGCAAAATCGTCTAGGTATATATCCCGGTGTCAGGGGTTTTCGACGATGTAAGACAAAAACGTAATTTTTATCTGTAATATCATTTAAAGTTTTAATTTACTAACATGGAGTGATAAAGGATATATTCATCTATTTCACACAAAAATATCAAGTGTTTCCAACAAAAATAGCGTTGATGACATCGTATCGGCAAAACAGTGGCCGCTCGTAACATGCGGGTATTTTGTATGGGTTTTCGACGATGAGCCATACTCTTTGCTCCGCACTGCGAGGGAGTGTTGTGATCACGTGGCTTCCTATTTATATATTGCCTGTCACCAGCAGACGACTGATCTTACTGAATTTTGGCTTGCTATTTTTTGTTATAAAGGCAACTGATTTTGCATCTAAAGTGGTATTAACGATCTCAGGTAAATAATATTGATGTTTGTTTGCTTTTTATATAACTTTACTTCCCGATTTCCATTGTCAATAAAACTTCTCAGGACAGCGACTGGGCATCCGCCATACCAGTGAAACTGTTTGTGCACTCCGATCGCATACGTACTCACCCGATATAGAGCGAGCAATGCAATTGTCGAAATCACCAGAACGTCGAACTCAGCTCATGTTGGGATACAGGACTATATGAACTGTAGATCTGATGTGAAACTACTTCGTTTTGATATGAATGTCTAATCATTTCTAGTTGCATATCAAAGTCACAGTAATTCAAATCATCAATGAACGATAGTCTTTTTCAGATGTCACATGTTTTTAGGACAGCAGTGTTTACTTGTGCTATACTTGTTTACTTGTATACTTGTGTTTACTTCAGTAACCCATGCTTGTCGTAGGATTGGGTGGTCAGGCTCGCTGACTTCGTATTCCAATTGCATAGATCGATGCTCATGCTGTTGATCACTGGATTGTCTGACCCAGACTCGATTACTTACAGACTGCCACCATATAGCTGGAGTGTGATGTAAAACTAAACTCACTCACTCCAGTTCTTGTTATAATTGCTCGTCACATCGAAGGCCCGGGTTTGATTCCCCACAATGTGCACAATGTGTGAAGCCCATTTCTGGTGTCCCCCGCCATGATATTGCTGGAATATTGCTAAAAGCGGCTTAACACCATACTCACTCACTCACTCTTGTTATAATTATGTTGATAATTCTGGGGTTTTTTCAGACAGCTGATGGATTGACGTTGAGAGATGACAGGTAACTAGGAGACATCTTACACACTATTCTGACGATGACTGATCTTCTGTCTCTGAAGCAAGCCTTCTGTGATATTGTCCAGAGGGCCCAGCCATGGATCCTGTCCCACTTCGTCATGTGGCTGGATCTGAAGGTGGCAGAGTACAAGGTCTATGGCTACATGGTTCTAGGTGGGTCTGAGTATTATAACTGACGAGAGCTGTTAAACCTCCGTGAACTGATAACACAACCAGATGCATACATCATCTCACAGCCTTTGAAATTCATGCTAGTTAAGTTTGGTTGAGACAGTTCAATTGTGTTGAGAACATGTCTATATCCAGGGATAGTAGTCTTCATTTACTTGTAGCATTTACGTGCAGGGCTACAGATAAGGGCCGTATCTGCGTATGTACGGATAAAATAAGCGCGATACGGTAGGAAATAATTTAGAAAACGTAGCAGACACGGACTACAGCAATGGTGTACGGTCTTAGAATCGCCTACAGACGTATTTATCTAAAAAAGGTATTGTTTTATTGTTAATTGACCTGTTTACACAAGAGTAGCAATATTGTGGTGCATATATGAAACGAAACACAAGATTACTGATACTCCATTAAATTCCATTCAGTACTCTAAATGTACTCTTATTGTTTTCCAGTACTCCTATATTGAAAAATAAGGAGTACGTACTCCTGATCATGAAAAATTATCTGGAGCCCTGTACGTGTGAACAAATCCTCATCATACTCATTGGTCCTCACAACTGAAATGGAATCACGAAAAGATCACAGTTATTGATTAACAAAGATACCTAATTCATTTAAAGTAAATGAGGCCATGAAGAATATTATGGTAATGACACAATTTGCAATCTGGACTCTGAAGGAAATGTTCTTTTGTCTAGGGATAAACATATTCACAGAGTTTCACTCATGCAGATAGTTGTTGGCAATCAGTGAACAGTCATTTTCAGTGTGTGTTATATATGCACATTACTAGTTTGAAATGAAACAAGTAAATTAGCCCATGAAGTATTTAAAACGCTATTGACCAAGTTTGTGATGTATACATTGCTAAATATAACCGATCACAATAGCCTGATGATGGACCCATATTCTGATTGTAATCTTTGATCATGATATTTTCTTTGCTATAAATACAGAATGGCTGTAGGATGTTGATGTCTGTTTAGATCATGTAAACTTGAGTAGTTATTAAATGTTCGTGTGATACAGTTACTGATTCACTGACTGTATTTTCTACAGAACAAGGCACAAGCCTGACCAGTGACCCCAAGAACTCGTCAGAATCTACAGCAAGAACATCTTCCAGTAGCTCTGTCACCTCCTTCACTACTGCCACAAGTGATAAATCTAACCTCTCTGCTTCTCAGCATACCTCACCACGAGCACCATGTTTGGTCGTTCCCAAACCCAGCCTCTCTACCGACCGCATCCCCACCTCTTCCTCCACCTCCTCCATCTCTGCCTCGACAACACCCATCTTCAAGCACCCCCTGTTTGGAGGAAGGACGAACAGACGCAAACAACAGCAGGTGTTCCGTAGAAGCTCAGCTTCCTTGTTAACTGCTCTCAGTAGCGGCATCTACAACTCGGTCGGGGCTCGGGACGACAGAAGGAAGGAGGAGTATTTGGGATCTGTTGGTCTGCATCCTCAGGAATCGGACTTGTCAATATCCTCCAGTGTGTCACAGTCAGGGACGCCATCCAAACATGCTCAGGGGTCAGAGTCGGTCATGGATTTGGATAGTCCAGAAACGGAGAGTCATAACTTGTCATGTAGTTCTTTTGTTTCACAGTCAGTCAGCCCATCGGCGAATGTTGCAACTCCAACAAAGACCAGGCGGTCTCTAAACAGTTTGTTTTCAGATTTACATCCTGAAGACAGATCCGATTCGGGTGATACAGAAACAAAGCTTAAAAGTAGACTTGTAGAAGCTATGGATGATGATGTGCAAGTGTTGTCTAGTCAATATGAAGAATCAAGTTCAAGGTCAAAAGGGGACATTATCGTGGTGGATGAAGAAGGAGATGCTGGACAAGAGAGAACAACTACAGGTCTTTCTGAAGATGGTACTTCGACATGTGATGGAAACTCAGAAGTTGATACTGTCAAGACCGCATCTACAGATTCAGTCGAGGAAACAGAATTTAGAAGTGAATCCTCAGGTGATAAAGACCAATGCTCAAATGACAATATGCCGCCTGGAAATGATACACAATGCTCAAGCTCACTGCCAGTGTCATCCACAAAAAATGACACGGCATCCTCTGATGAGACATCTGCAAACAGGAATAAAAAATCTCTGATAAACAAAGATGAAACTCAACCTTCAAGTAAAACACAGAGTCCATCGACCTCAACCACAACACACCAGGACTCATCATCGACCGGTGTCAATCCTCAACTTGTCAAAGAAGAGTCACTCTTGGATGAAATTCAGATCAAGCTGGAGCCGGTTGACACTTCGCCTAATGATTCGTTCTTCAACAGTCCAAACTACATGAACCAACCGTCATCATCCGACTCTGGCAACCTTCTGCAACAACAGCAGTTTGCCTACAGCAGCAGTAGCAGCAGGTCCAGCCCAGGCTACCTCGAGGGCATCGACTGGAACGCAATCAGTTACAACCAGTATCTTGACAGCAGCCAGGGCTTTCACAGCGGGGCAGGTGAGTAGTCAGTGATTGTTTTAATACAAAGGGTGTTGTGAGGTAGCCTCATGGTTAAATCGTAGTAGTCACGTTGAAGACGCGCGTTCCATGCCCTACATGGGTACAATGACATCCATTTCTATTGTCCCCTACCCTGATATTGCTTAAATAAATGTATTTCTAAATGTGGGGTTAAAACATACTCAATCATTTTTGTTAACTAGATATGTTAGTTATCTCCCCTGATTTTGTATATCTATTTAGTTGAAAAGGAGCTTTGTGTATTTGAATGAAGGTGAGGTGAAATGGGGGTTTGCTTGGCATTCAGCCATAACCATCTTTAGCCAGGTGTTGTTATCTCCCTCAGTGCCAGGCAGGGTAACAACAAGTGCCATTGTATAACTTCTTTTGATATAAGCTTGCAAAGGGACTGAAACCCTGGGCTTTTTCTCTCAGGTAGACACGACCCGTGAAGATCCGGGTTAGAATTGATCTTCAGCAACCCATGCTTGTTGTAAGAGGCGACTAACGGGATCGGGTGGTCAGACTCGCTGACTTGGTTGACACACGTCATCGCATCCCAATTGCGTAGATCAATGCTCATACTGTTGATCACTGGATTGTCTGGTCCGGACTTAATTGTCCCCCGCTGCAGCACGGAACGGGGGACTATGTATTCAGCAGCGGACGTACGGACATCTGTCCCGATTCTTGTTAACACGATATCTCATGAACTGTTGCGCCCAATGTCTTCAAATTTGGTCACAGCCTACATTAGGGAATTACGCAGACACCATTCGATTTTGGTGACCTTGACCTTATCTTCAAGGTCACCACAACACTTTGACCACTTTCCAAATCTTGTTAACACGATATCTCATGAACTGTTGTACCCAATGTCTTCAACTTTAATGACAGCCTACATGGGGGAATTACGCAGACACAAGATGATTATGGTGACCGTGACCTTATTTTCAAGGACACCACGACACTTTGACCACTTTTCAAACTTATGCAAACGTGATATCTCATAAAACATTGCACCCAATGTCTTCAATTATGTCGACAGCCTATATAAGGTGATTATGCAGACATCAGTCATTTCAGGCATCTTGTATGTGACCAAAAAATATAAAGTAGTAAATATGTTATGTTCATTCTTCTTTAGTGGCGGGGGACATTGCCATATCAGTGGGCAAACACTTGTTATTTACTTAATTTATTTATAGCTGGAATATTGCTTAGTGCTGCATTAAACAAACCAAACAACATGTTACCACCCAGTCTACTAATGATTAAGTTAAAGTATGCCCAATACTGCAATAGCATAACTTTAAACAAACCAAACAACATGTTACCGCCCAGTAGTGTTGGGAATTGGTTAAAATCTCATAATTGATGATTGGTTAATTACAACCGATCAATCATCGAAAATAATTGGTCAGTGTCATTTATGAAATGTGTTAATGCACACAAAAATAAGGGGAAAAATATGTAGTTCTTTGGGGTTTTGGCAAAATTTCACATCTTTAAAGGATGACTAGTATGGAGGAACATAAATTTCTTAGAGTCTTTAAGATAAATTGAATCATGACTTGGATTGAGCTTGTAGTGCTTATGAAATGTAACAGACAAAACCAACCTAGTGAAAATACTGTTAATGAAAACAAGTGTTCTAGAATTGTTTGTGTTCGATTATGACAAAACATAATCGATTGCTTGGTCGTTTAGTCACTGCGACAAATCTTCGATTATTTCAATTAATCAGACCACGCCTACCGCCCAGTCTTCTAATGATTAAGTTAAAGTGTGCCCAATAGCATAACTTCAAACAAATTCAGTGTTCGGAATCAGTTTATTTCTCACTTCAGTGTGTTAGGGGATATAACTTGATTGCTTACCAATTACTTATGTAGGAACATATTGTGGTGTTAAACAACATTTGCTGGTTATATTTCAGAAACAAGTCCATCATCCAGCAATCAAGATGGCCGATCTGGTCGCAGGGATGTTGACATATCCCCAAACACCCAATCGAAGAGCGACCCAAACCTAACCTGCAACTTGTGTGGAGCAGTGTTCAGGTTCAAGTCCTCACTGTCACGACACAAGACACTTCATGGAGAGAAGCGCTTCCACTGTTTTGTTTGTCCTAAGGCATTCCATCGTCGTGAGCACCTTCTTCTGCATCTACAACGTCATGCTAACAGCGCCATGATCACTTGCCCGGTGTGTCACATGCAAGCTTCAAGCGTCAAACACCTTGAGGAACATTACCGACTCAATCATGGCCCGTTCAGGCGAACCGGTGTGCCGCCATATTTAACCAGGGACAACTCAAGGTAGCAAGACACAAGAGATCAGTCACTTCTTATTAGCTTGTCAATTTGTATTTGTGCGTAATCTGAGAACTTTATTGTCGTTTTTTCAATGGTCTTTCAAAAGTTGTAATACGTGTCTTTCTTGCATGTGTTATATATTGAATATGACACATGATATTGGAATTTAATGCCAGTTTTTGTTCTACACAATGGAGAAAGTCCATTGACAGCTGGTCTTGTAGAATACAGAAACCACATTAGTGAATTATTTGAATTTGAAAAGTGATCCAAATGAAGCTTTGTTCACAAGTAAGACTGGAAACTATGTTACAATCTTCCTATTCTCACAGAATTTTTATAAAACATGGATGAGTAATGATTCATCAGTGCTTAACTACAGCCGATACATAAGCTGTGAGATCACAATACACTCCAAATAGATCATAAATATATCAATTTACTTCAATAGGGGAAGTATCATAGTGCCACCTGTAAGCATGGAGGAACACAAGGTGGACAAAAATGGTGCATATATAAGCCTGTTCTGGACAAATTTGGAGTTTCGAAACACCTTGTACAGAAAGAAAGTCTCACAGATTGTGTCAAGCAGTGATCTCAGTAATGTCATCATGTCATACTGTTGACTGTTGATTGTGATACCAGCAGTACTATTAGTATGCAGAGATGTCAACCTGTACGATTTTATCAGTCGCTACGAATTTTTGCCTCAAACTACGCCAATATGATTGCACTAGAAATTCTATGAAATTTGAAGAAAATTAATTAAAATTCAGATATATAGTCAAAAACATATTTATTTTTGTTGATTAAATACATTTTCGCCAAAAAAAGACAAGAAAAAATTTAATGCTGATAATTTGAAAATCTGCTGTTGGAGGCATGTGAAGCTTCACTCTTGATTAGTGTCATATTATCTTTCTCAAAATCCATCATGATTTTAAGTATTTAGTTGACTACTAATTTTAATACTTGAAACTACGATTAGCAACACTGGGGTTGGCATCTCTGAGTATGTATTGTGTTAAATATTGTATCATGAAATCTCGGCGATTCTCAGGTCTAATGGTCAGCCTGTATGGACACTCTTCGATAGTGTCTGTACCTTGCTTTCTTGTTGTCAGCAACTTCAGGCTAACCAGTGAGGAGTTCAATATGTTAATAGAAATGTTGATTTTTTTATCCCCCGCAACGCGTTTTGCGGAGGGTATTAAAATAGACTCCGTCCGTCCGTGCGTCCGTCCGTCCGTTGACATTTGTCTTTTCCGGAGCAGAACTCTAAAACTGTTCAATATTTCTTCACCAAACTTGGCACATAAATAGATCTGGTGGTGTACTGGTGCCTTTTGGTAGTTTTGGAATTCTGAATAAAATATTTTTGACGTTTCCATGGCAACAAGTTCGACTTAGACTGAAATTGGTGGTTGTGCTCCTTTCCGGAGCAGAACTCTAAAACTGTTCAATGTTTCTTCACCAAACTTGGCACATAGATTGTTCCGCGGTGGTGTACTGGTGCCTTTTGGTAGTTTTGGATTTCTGAATAAAATATATTTGCATTTCCATGGCAACAAGTTTGACTTAGACTGAAATTGGTGATAGTGCTCCTTTCTGGAGCAGAACTTTAAAAACCTTTCAATACTCTCCTTCCACTTTTCTATATACACACCTAAATATTTAACATAATCATAACTTGTAGACATAATCATGAAGAGTATTTTGCCATTGCGGGGGATATTGATGACATTGTCTTCTTGTTTAGAGTTTGACTGGAGCTGAGGAATTGGTTAGTTTTTGGAAGAAGGACTGGCTAATGAGCTGGTTTGCATCTAATGTGGTGATATTACCTATTGTTTCAATCATGAAAGGAAACTGTTGAAATTATTGTGTCAAGGAGGTCAAGGGTTTGTTATATAATAGAATTGTGACTAAATACTGGATAGTCAAGGATTATCCATATTATTGAACCTGCAGATATTTTGCGAATTAGAGATGTCAAGGTTACTCCTTGAAACAAGGGACGACATCTATGTATTATTTCCAAGAAATTATGATATTAGTTGTATATATGTTATTATTACGCCTTTGACAGTTTATTTGATGATTATTTATTCTTCTGTTCACGTAGCATTTAAGTTGCCTTTAGTAAGTGGTATTTATTTTGAAAAGAATCATGTAGTTGATGGAGTTAGTATATTTATATATATATCAGACAAATCTTTGTCAGTTGTGCAATATTTGTGTCTTTTGCAGGTGCATGGTCATTCAATATTTCAGAATGATTTACCTATTTTGTCATTGATTCACAAAATAAGTGTTCCTTTTGCATGGACTTGAAAATAAGTGTTGATATTATATCTTTGCATCTATTCGTGAGATCTCTATCTCAAACCACGGTATTTTTTTAAGTTGTTCATGTATTCCACAGAACTGAAACACCTGTTGACAGGAAGAATATGTCAAGGCCACACTTTCTAAAAACTTGTTTTGAAAGTCTTGCAACTGACAAAGTATATGATAAGGGAAAAGCAGCAATGGCTCTTTATGTGAACCAAAAATACGTAAAGTTTTACAAATTCTGTAAGAATTTAACCCCATATTCTTTTTGGTATCTTCCTCACTTTTAGAGGAAATGCAATAACTTCTTTGAGTGGCATTTTAGAAGTTGGGAAGTACAATATAGAACAAAATTTATGGATCACAACTTCTTTTTATTCGTGGTGACGTTTGATACAGATTCTTGTACCGTTGTCAAGCATAAACATATTGACTAGCATATGTTTATGCTTGACAACGGTACAAGAATCTATATCGAAACGTCGCATTCACGAATAAAAAGAAGTTGTTATCCATAAAGTTTGTTCTATGTTATATTTGAATTAAATTTTTAACTTACGGATCCAAAATCTGTTACCCACCAATAATTACAGTTAGTGATGTACATATTTAATGAGTTTATGATACATGCACTTAGTGTGATTGGTAGCTTACATAAAACAGCGGGTCTACCACACAACTTTATATAAGTACCTCTACACTATCTACTCCTGTCTGTGTTTGTTGCTAGTCAATATTCACACCATCATTAGTTGGCTTGAATGTCAAGGTCACCATTTATGGTGGTCACAGTGAGGCTTGAAGATGCAGTGAGGTGTTTGGATTGAGATGGTCCTCTATCAGACATTAAATATCTCAATATTATGATTGGACACATTTCCTTAGGGGTCAAGGTCAAGGTCACATGGCATAAGAAATATATATATTATGCTGTGAACTTTCGTCACAGGGGTGAAGACTGACCCATTTTTCATCCATTGGCACATTAATCAAGGCCTCTGTGAAAATAAATTTCAACATTTTGGGTTAACGAAGAGTACAGAATTTCCCCTAATATGCCAATCAGCTTTAGTGTAATAACTTGAAGTTTAGGGCCAGTTCACTTATAAATAGATCAGCTTCATTAGCTGCTTTTCTGAAATTTCAATTACAAGGAGGTTATTGTTATCAGCTAAAACATGAAGCTTACATTCATTTAAAAAGGTTGATAGGTCTGTTTTATGTAAATGCAGATAAAATGAATTCCATTATGTGAAAGCTTACTCGTATACCTGATAATCACAGACCACCTCCATATAGCTGGAATATTGCTGAGCGTGGCGTTAAACAACCATCCAACCAACCATTATGATACTGGAATCAGGTGCTTTTGACATTTCTTTTTCTGTGCTTTATCCGTCATGTGAAATTGTTTTATATGGATTTTTTTAGATATTCACGTTAATATTCTGTTTGGGCACAGCAAGACATCAGTAATTATCCTAAGCATTTTCAGTGAACACTTCTGGCGCGCTTATCTATGTTCAGCATTCCTCCATATTAGGCTGACATTTCAGCACTCAACTTTGTAGACAAATTTATTTGTATGGTGCACATGGAAATAAGATGCCTGAGGCTGCATGAATTATATTTTAATGTTCAGCATACACCGTTCTCTCAGAAGTTGATGTAGCTAATACATTTTTGTTGTTTGTATTGAAAACACAAATGTATTTGGATGGTGCACATGAAAATGAGATTCCTGAGGCTGCATCAGTTGTATTTTAATGTTCAGCAGTCACCATTTTCTCAGAAGTTGATGTAGCTATCACATTTTGTTGTTTTTATTGAAAACAGTGAAGTGAGACAGTTTTTGTGTTTCCACACCTTGATTAGGAGCAAATACAACTGGGCCCTCATTGACCCCAGCAATACAAAAATGTCAAGAAAGTCATTTTACGGACAACAGAGTTTGCTTCATATAATTCTTTTATTTCAGCATCTTTTCTCTGGTAAAGTCAACTTAAGTATATGTACAGATGTCTTAACGTTCCTGAGAGTATCTGATTTCAACTTCTATATTCTTTCAACATTTGGTACATGTGGTTGATAAATTGAATTGAACATGTTCTGAATTGCCCTGTTGAAAGACTGACTGACTGACAGAGTTTGGTTTTACGCCGCTTTTAGCAATATTCCAGCAACATCACGGCAGGGGACACCAGAAATGGGCTTCACACAATGTACCCATGTGGGGATTTGAACCCGGGTCTTCGGCGTGATGAGCCAACGCTTTAACCACTAGGCTACCCACTGCCCCTGTTGAAAGAAGAAAGATGTTAAAGTCAATGTTGACTGAGCCAGCAGACCCTGTTAACTGGCAGGATATACGATGCTGTTCCCCAGGTAACTGTTTCTGTGTTTGAATAGAGGGCACGGTTGGTCCACTGCTGCAGTCCTTTGTGTCACTAGGTGTATAAGTTCGAATCCCAGTTTGCCCCGACTGTGGCACCATAATGCTCGGCCAGGGCTCAAAATAGGAACCAAACTCTTTAACTCAACATCCAATGAAGATCTGGGTTTGACCAACCAAGACTTGTTGTAAAAGACGACTCAGGAATTGGTTGTCCAGGCTCGACTACTTGGTTGATGCATGTCATGTTATCAGTCAGTGAGAATGAGAAAGCCACAATAACTCGGTGTGCCTAGTGGCTGCAAGAGTTGTATACTCCCCAGGGAGTTGAGATTGATAATACGATGTGCCGTCGAGATTGACATCCAATGATCGAGGGGAAAATACCAGCGCCTTGAGCATGCACTAGTTGCCTGGATATGTGCGCTGAATAAATATCCTATAATAATAATCAGATGTCTTTGAGAGCAGTGTTATAGAAAACAACAACACTCACTGACTCACCCTACTAATTGTTTGAGATGTTGATTTTTGTTGTGTTTGTCAATGATGTGTATACTGATGCAAGCCTTCCTAACACTTGTTGATGATGTGTAGCTATTACTGGACTAGTCATGCACAAGAAACGTGACAATACAGGGTATATACACCACACGAATCATATCAGACGCATCTCATGGATTCAACAGGTCCTGGATGGCGTAAAAATGCCAGTTTGCTAAATTAAGTAAAACTTTGTGTTGTTGGTATGATCAGGGCTGATAATTTGTCCATTATTCTTACACAGTATACCCGTGAAGATCCGGGTTAGAATATTGATCTTCAGTAACCCATGCTTGTCGTAAGAGGTGACTAATGGGATTGGGTGGTCAGACTCGCTGACTTAGTTGACACACGTCATCGGTTCCCCATTGTGCAGATCAATGCTCATGCTGTTGATCACTGAATTGTCTGGTCCAGACTCGATTATTTACTGACCACCGCCATACAGCTGGAATATTTTCTGAATGCGGCGTAAAACTAAGCTCACTCTTACTCAATATCCACCATCTAAGTTGAAGAGGAGAATAGCTAAAGTGATCAAATTTCTTAATTCAAGAGAAAATTTAATGGTGAGCCAGGCTGTGACCATATACATCTTTTACCTTCAATTCATTGTATTATCTTTATCCTTTGTAAATGTATTTAAGAAAATCACCAGAGGTCAAACCTTACTTTCTTTCAGATAATTTATATATGGTTCCTGTAAACCTCTGCCTATTGACTCATTAATATGGTTAACGTGAACTTAATCAAGTTCTCAAGATGATAATTTCCATGACACTTCCTTACCATACCTGATCAGGGTAGGAGACATGTTGTGACTGATCATAAGATTGCTATCCAATTTGGGGACAAAATATCCAAAATTTAATTTAATGTAATGTTTTGCTACTTTTTATAAAACTGAATTTCAGACTTAATGCACAAATATTTACTTTTTTGTTGTTATTTACATATATTGTCTATAGATTTTGTATGTTGAAAACATTAGATCTGTGGTCAGAGTGACCTTGTGTACAAAATTTAATTCCAGGCAGATCAGGCTCTGTCTTTTACAGATATTGTCATTGTGGTTCCTTTCATTTAGTCCTTGGCCAAATGCTAGAAGAGTCCTTATGTTTAGGATTTTCCAGCAGCAGTAAGCATGTTGTACACTAATTAGTACAACACCTACCATTCTCAAAAACTTCTTGATATGGAACTAGCCACAGAATGTAACAAGATTTACCCCACTGTTGAAACAGTGTCCACATGTTCATAGATCAACTGATTATCATTAACCACGTGATCTAATGGACGGTGACAGGCACTGGTGTTCTACATGGTCAAGATATGCAGTATGGGGGATAAAGCTGGGTGTATCATATTACCTGATTTTGCTGCCATCTCTACATTTGGCCGAGGATTATATTGTTCAGATCTTTTAAAATAGTGATGCAGGGAGGACAAAAAAAATATTATTCTTGTTTCAATCGTCAGGCATGGACACCTTTCTGCCTTGTTCGCATGTTACTTACAAGAAGCCTTTCTCTCCTGCCAATGGCACTTGTTAATTGTGAATACTGTGTTACTGGTCGACCTTGTGCTGTCAGCCAGCTGACCAGACATTGTACAAGTGTATTTGTTATGTCAATTATTTCATGTTTGTCAACTGACACAAAAAAAGGTGCATTAATTTATTTGAATAAACTCTAGTCAGAATGTTGATTGGTTCTTCTTTTGTAATTTTAAGAATTAAGTAAGCTTTTCATACCTTGATACTTGTATGTCTGAGTTGGGTCTTAGTCCGCTTTTAAACAAACCAATGACCACTCTGAGCAGCTTCTATCCACTGGACAATGGAAGCTGTTGCATCTCAGAGGTGATAGGACAATAAGAGATGTCCTCCTTTCAGGTATCATTAGGGCTGTGTATTGACAAATAAATTGTATTGCCATTCAGGTACCCATAATGCAATATTGGGAACTGAAGTGTTTGACAGTGAGTGACACTAATTGTGCACATCAATCCTTCTTTGTTCATCATAATTCCCTAAACACATGTTATGGTTCTGATAACAGCAATCTCAAAATTAGGTTGGATAGTCATGGATTCTATTTTTGTTTTTATACAATATATATAGTGTTACAGTATGCTGTTTTGTCATTGAATAATGCAGGAAAACATTTGTTGTGAATGAAAGTATGTGTAGATTTTAATTTTAACCATAAAGATGATCACAAAAACTTCATATATGTTCTTTACCCAATATACCGGTTCTCAGAAAAAATATTGCAATACGTATCGCTTGAAACGCATATTGTGATACACTGGTAATACCGTGCAGTCCTAGGTATCATGGACCTGTGGCTGGTGGGTCAAGAAGTAGTGTTTATGTTATTATTTTTCAAATTATTTTAGTTGGCTTGTTCAGGACTGACAGATTAACATGGAGCTCAAATTTGTGAAGGTCAAAATAACTACTGCAACCATGCAAGGTAATAAGTGCCAATAGTTAATATGGGTTACTTGATGCTTCTTTCCAGCTGTGATGAAAATATGTGCCCTTCAACAAAGGTCAGAAGCATGACAAAATTTTGTGAACTTGTTGTCTTTGTAAGCTGATTTTACTTCAAGGATATGTAGCCTGTTGAAGAAGTTGATTCATCAGGGTGAAGACCTGGAAATGTCTGAAGCCTTTTTGTGGTCTCCACGAAGCTAGAAAATTCTAAGATGGGCCTTCTCCGAACCCTTGACTCCGAATTAAACCCAAGTCTATGTACTTCAGGGCTCAGAGCCTTCAAAAAGAAGACTGACTGACTGACTATGGTTATACGCCGCTTTTAGCAATATTCCAGCAACATCACGGCGGGGGACACCAGAAATGGGCTTCACACATTGTACCCATGTGGGGAATCAAACCCAGGCCTTCGGTGTGAGGAGCGAATGCTTTAACCACAAGGCTACCCACCGCCCCTTAAAAAAGAAGAAACAGTTGCAATCCTCTGTCTGCCCCCACTTTCAGAAGCTCCTCCATCATAGGGTGCAGGAACTTAATTCCACTCAAAATCCTCTATGTCTCAAAGAATGGCATTTCAAATGAACCCCTGGGACCATTCCCATGGCTCTTACCATCCCTGATTTTCATAAACAAATTTCATACACTGAAATGTACCTATTATGATTCCATTCCCTAACACATTTCTTAATTGTGACATCCCATCCCAATAATGGGGCATCTGTCCAATTGAGAACTGAACTCATTTTCAAAAGTTGCTGTCATCGAAATAGAAACTAAGCAATAAAAATCACATGACCATATTGTACACAATACAGGGATAGGATAGAGAATTTTGACAATGGGCCATTTTCAGGATTATTAGCCATTTTCTGAATTTAGAAAGGGCCATTGCCCTTGTATCAATAGTTAACTTCAAAATCTTAATGGGCCATGTTTTATTCTAATGTGCAAAATGGCCCATGGCCCCTGCCTTTCCCAATCCCTGACAATATCACTTATCTTCAGTGCCCTGACCAGAACATTATAATCTGGCAGTTATATGTGTGTAAAGAGTGCAACAAACAGTGCCAAAATTTGGTAACTTCAGAAGCCATTTATTGCTGTTGAAGGAAGAACAAGTGCAATGTTTTTGGTTTGGTTTGGTTTTTATTTTTTTCTTCTCAAAATCAAGTTCTCCAACAAAAGGGTAAAAAATTTGGAGGGGCACTTGCTTAATCAAAAGTTTTGGATGGTTAACAATAAATAGCACTTTCAAGCTGTCATTCTGAAATCTACACAAGTCCTCGAAATACATTAGCTGTCGATATATTTACAAAAACAACTCATGGAGATGGCATGCTTCGGTTCCCAGTCATCTTTTACTTGAACGTGAAATGTTTGGAAAAGTAAACCATTTTGACATACGATAAAAAATAGTAAACATCAGTTGGAGAATTGTTGGCCCATTTTAATTTTGTAACATCAACCCAGTAGTGCATGAACATCAGCCGGTTTCATCACAAATAGATTTGTCATCACACTAACAATGGTTTCCTGAATAATACAACAATCGTCTTGACCAATTCCATCAAAATGTTACGTACAATAGTAGGATGGGGAGAAGAGGTACACGATACAATGAATTCCAGTGTAAAGCATGGCCCCAACTTCAAACGTACATTTTGGTGTTGTGAGAAACAACAGCTATACCGAAACATGTTCACATGGGTATTACATAACAATTTAAACCTTAAGAGAACTGTACAATCAAAGAACTTCAGGGACCAGTTCAAAAGTTTGATGTTGGATAAAAAATTTAATCCCAAAAGTTTTGGGGTGGGGAGTGATAGTTATTGGTCCTGCAAGTTTTCCCTATTTTCCAGCATTTTCACTTAGGCAAAACTCACACCATATTTTTCAACAATCCTATTTCTACTGTTAAGAGACTGTTATCATTTCCAAGGCAACTTGAGAGTAACAGTTAACACTGCTTTGTGATTTTCGCTAAATTGATAATTTAGGCTGTAACACAAGAGGATTTGACAGGCATATGCCGTTAGAAGTTGTCATTAACTACATTAAATACACACGAGGTAGGGTTTCTGTCGCCATCACGGCACAAGCAGTATTACCATAACAAGTAGTATAACAATAAGTATAACAAATAGTATTACGTGCCGATGTGCAAAGAAGCCATAGTGCTACGACTGTCGTAAGTCTATGATAGAGGAGGGGAGCTACGATCACCTTAGCGCTAAGATCACTTTGTGCAATGGCACCCTGAATAGTACAGAACTTAACTTGTCATATATTCTTCATGGCAGTATATTTTTTAGTATATCAAGGAATTCAACATTTTAAGTAAGTCTCAAAACTAAAGGAATTCAGTTTTTTTAACCAACACTGAACATTTGAACTGGTCCCTTATGGTACTGAATCATATTCATCAACTATCTGATAAATCCTATACCATCCACCATAACCATGTGGCATCCCTTCACAAATCATAGGACTTACTTCTCAAAGGCGCATCTAATGGTTCAGACAAATGACATTTTTTCAGAATTTCGCAGAAGCCCAATACTTTCAAAATCAGAAGACAGTCAACAAAATTTCTACATGTCTCTGAATGAAAGAATTAAATCCATCTTTGAAAAGCTTCACCATTCATTACATATGTAGACAAGAAACCCCCACTCCATAGAAAAGATATTCAACTTTTGACGTCCATTTTGATGACTTGCTAACCCTTGGCTGATCCAGCCTTGAGCATCAAGCAACATCAAGGTTGCCATGTATTCCGGTATTGTGGCTACAATGTCGAGGTCACACTCAGTCAGCTGGAGCTGGCGGAGCATCCATGTTTTCTGCGATTGCCTTCTCCACCTTCTTCTTCTTCCGCTTAGCACTTTTCCTGGAGGCCGACGCAGCCAGAAGAGTCTGGAATAGGATACGTCAACTTATTAAATTTAATTCTGAAATTAGATGCTTCACATCAGAGCACAATTTGCCAGCAATCAGGATATGTTCATAGCCTCCATCAGCTGAGTGTTCTCTAATGGGTGCAAGACTTGACACCTGGCATTCAAGTTGCTTGAGATTTGTTCAAGCAAGAAGCCCTTGCCACAGGATCTTCAAGCTGGTACCCAAAGGTTCATATTTTAAGAACAGTGGTGATTATTGGAAACATTTAATTTTTCTTCTTCCATTTTGGAAAAGAAAAGGGAAAATGGAACTTGTCTTGACCATAAAAATTATACAAATCTGAAATTATCAAGAGGCCAAATTATGACTGCATGTTTGATGAAGATAATAAATGATCTTTCAATAATGCAAAAGTTAATCAAGTTTACAGGGTCTGAACTGGTTTGTCATTACTAATGCAAGGCCTTTTCAAGATACTCTAACTCATATTCAAGGGAAATACACAATTTGATATAAGGCAAGTAATTTATCCCAGACTGGAATCATTTGGTACACATGCCATTTGACAAGGCAAACACCAATAGCTGAGCACTATTTGGTCAGAATTGACCAAATACCCAAAGCTGTAGTAGGAATTGTGGAAAGATTCAAGACAGGGGTGGAAATAACCCATTGCCCGACGCCAAAGTCCAGTGGTTTTTTCTGTCGGGCAAGCAAATTTGTATATCACACTGTACCGGTGTCCAGTTGACTTTCCACTTTTAATTATGTTGTTTATTTAAAAAATCAACAAGAAAATCGGCCAGTATAGTGGAAAAATTATCAGGGCAAGTGATTTTACTTGTGCCACTGTACCGGAGTACACTAACAATTTTAAAGTTATTTCCACCCCTGCAAGACCGTGTGCCAAATTACAAACTATGTTTACAATTTTTATCAGCCCTACCTTGAGCTCTTCGTCTTCAATGCTGTGTTCTGTCTCATATGCATCAGCGTCGAGTGGTAAACCTGTGATCTTCAATGGTCCATTTGGCATCAAAATCACTGTGAACTTGAACTGGGCTACACATTCACCTGTAAAAACAAACAAACTAACTTTACCCAGCTGCTTATACTTACAGAAACAATACTCATCATATTATGCAAGGTACCGAAGGATTATTTTCAATCACATTGCAATGTATGATGCCATGAGCTCTTACCAGAATGAAATATTCCCCCATGGACAGTCTGCAGTTGTTATGGAAAGTTCATTATATTGGATCTTTTTGCAGTCTGATACATTGGCATCAGTGGAAATATTGAGTGAGTGGGTTTAGTATTACGCCGCCTTTAGCAATATTCCATCAGTATGAAGTGGGGGACACCAGAAATGAGCTTTACACATTGTACCCATATGGGTAATCAAACCCAGGTCTTCGGGGTATGTGGGGAATTAATCCCAGGTCTTCGGCGTAACAAACAAACGCCATAACCACTAGGCTACACCATCAACAGGACTAGTTTAAACATGGTTTCTAATATCTCAAGTTAGTGACCTCAGGGTTACAGCAAGTACTTATGAGGAAGTAGTTCTGGATTGAAAATCTTTTCAGGAGTTATTGAAACATTCAATTTCGAGTCCATGATAGCCAATCAGAAGTGCAGAAATTAGGATAACCCACACACTGTAATTTTAACTAATCACCACAGCTTGTGAATTATCACATCAAATAAGCCCACAGACAGCATGGGGTTACCAAATTTTAAATGATAAATGTTAAGTTACAAGACATGATCTTCAGGTAACAAGCAAACACTCTGTCAGAATCATACTTTAGACTTCACAGATGATTCAGTACAGGTCTGTGTTTCTCATCATTCAGAGTGCAGCAAGTTCACACCATAGCACAACTTAAGGCTTAGATTCTAACACTGTCACAACTGTCACTGCTATTTTGCCTGTTCAAATGAAAGAAAAGACTGAAAATGTGCTCTAGCCTAGTCAATTATATCACAGGCTTTATATGAGTATACAGTACAGGCTGAAAAACTGCCCATGCATATCCACTGACCTTCCCTCTCGTATAGCACACTGAAAGGCTGCATGAGATCGTGTTTCACACACTCAACGATACCCATCTTGGCTTTCTTTTCATCCTCAAATAACCTGCAAAGACAAAGTAACGTTTCAGATCTTGTATAAGGTGTTATTTGATAGCAATGGTCTACAGCAGTCACCATCTAAATTTTGTGCGAGGTAGACCAGTGGTTTATAAGTGCAATGATCCAAATACATTCTGGCAACATAGTGTAACTATCTAATCAAGTGGCTTTTGAAGACAAACAAAGGGAAACATGAAATATTTGGGATACGATGACATGTGTCAACCAAGTCAGTGAGCCTGACCACCTGATCCCGTCAGTCGCCTCATACGACAAGCATGGGTTACTGAAAACCGATTCTAACCTGGATCTTCATGGTTTGTGAGGGGCGGAGAGGCATCTTAAGATTGCGTAATGGGCCTTGAGAACACATGAGGGTGTGTGGAAAATTTTCACTTACCTTAGCGTGAAAGGCATCAATCCAAACTTCTTGTCAGTTTCGCTGAGGAATTCTGAAAAATATTGTTAGTTTTCACAGTAATGCAAGTCAGAGATAATGGTCAGTCATATCCAGGTAGAAGAATCTCTGTCAGAATTGTAACTTGTCTTCAAATATCATATCAGTACAGGTCTGTGTTTATCATCATTCAGAGATAATATACAAGTGTCTTTCATAGTTAAGTTGTGGCAAGGAGTGAGTGAGTGAGTGAGTTAGTTTTACACCGCTTTTAGCAATATGCCAGCAATATCACAGTGGGGGACACCAGAAATGGGCTTCTCACATTGTACCTATGTGGGGAATAAACCCAGGCATTTGGCGTAAAGAGCGAACACTTTAACCACAAGGCTACCCCACCGACCCCTTGTGGCAAGTAAGTACAAATGTAACTGCTGCAATGGATTTGATAAGGAATTTAAAAAAAATTCCTAGTAATTACAAAATGACACTTATTGCATCGATTATGGCTACAATTGCCAAAAGAAAATGTAGAAACCTGCCTCACATTTCCTTTAACAGGTATCAATTACATAATATCCAAGTTGGAGAAAGGGGGATGCCCATCACCACCCATGGCAGAAATAAAAATTTGGCACTGTTGTGCAAGTGGGAAGATAGAGCTGGGTTTTACGCTGCTTTTAGCAATATACTAACCAAGATTAAAACTTTAACAAAAAGCCAACTAGCTTGGGGATGGTAGGAGTTCCGCCTTGTTTTCACATTACAGGGGAATTTTATCTCTTCCTGGGTAAAGAAAGCTTTTGCCTCAACCACACACCAACCTGCCATGGTGATATGGAAAAACTTGTCAATCATTTAAGTACTTACGCCTTGATGCTTTCATCTTCAGTTGATAAACAATATCTTTCTTCTTATACACTGTTGTCCTTGTGTCGGACTCCCTGCCCTGTTAATAAACAGGTTACTGTTACATTTCTCATAGCACAAACACACTTGAACACAAAACACTACCGGGCGGCAACTATAGCTATGTGGTGTCAGTCTGCAGTGTGGTCACAGCTGTACCAGTGTTGTCATGTCACAACAAAGAAATTGATCAGCTTTAGACTTGTCATTCCTATTACTTACAACTTCTAGAATGCCTCTCAAACAGCATTCCAGTTATATCACAGTGCATAGTTAAATGAGGGAGAAAAGCCACAGACTTTTACATCATCGGTGCAAGCTACAAGCATGGTACAACACTGACAAACCTATTCTTAATTGGGTCAAATTACGATTCGAATCAGGTCTTGCTGTGATTCACAACAGTGTGCGAAATAGTTTCAAATTTTGCTAGCCAGTCGGGCTACCTATGCCTGAACGTTACTAGCCCACAAAATAATTCACTAGTCCGAAATTTGAATGTAGGCATTTCATTATAAGCTACTAATATGACGAGCATTTTGATCAGGCCAGAATCCTGCATGCTTTAAAGTGTGTTGTGACTTAACAAGTCGGAGACCCCATGAAAGTTCACTAGCCAGTCGGGCCAGTGACTATGGAGATTTACTGGCCCGACTGGATTTTTACTAGCTACAGGTTAACGGGCTAGTGGCTATTTCGCACACTGATTCACAAGCAAAAAAAATGTGCCTTAAAACATTGATCAGTGTATGACATTGAATCAGGTGAAGAGTGTGGGTCCTCTCACATGATCAATATTTTCAAACCATCCACAGAGATGCCAAACCCAAATTGGTGGAATTAGGAAACTGAGCTCTACAAGATAGAAAATATTAGGAATTTTCCCAACAAATTAGGGATCCCTATAATTTGTTGCACTCAAGTAACGAAAATTTTCAATGCCATTACACATTAAGATCCTTATACAAGTGAAACCGGTTTGCAGTACTCGGCAGCAGTGTTTGTGACGGTTAAGTTAATTAAATAAATAGTGCGTAGAATTTATCAGGCAGCCTACTCAACTTCCGGATTACTTTCTTGTGTAAACAACTTGAGAACTTCTGTAAATATAGTGTTATATTTATTATGTATCATTATTTATAGTCAAAGATGATCCTAACCCTCCAGTAAGTAAGACTATCTTTATCTTTGTTATATATTGAAAAAAAAAATCGGAATGAATTCGTCTTTGTCGGAATGGGGGAACTGACATGCATTTTCAGTATGATTCCTATAAATCCGAGAGGGTTGGCATCTTTGCATCCACCCCAACACAAACAGACAGAGTTAGCCATCTTGGAACTGTATTTGTTACATTATACTCTATCAGCTTGGTGAAAGACAAACGCCTTTAGTAATGCAGATGTGTACTACCTTCGTGAAACCTTTGAGCATGAGTATGGTTGACAAACCAAGAAACATCCATGTGAACAAAGTCTGACCCTTTCAGGTTTCCAAGAATGGATATAACTCCACACAGGTAACAGCCGTTCCTTAGACGACTGAGGTCAAACACACAATACTCCCCACCCCACCGTGAACATGAAAATTACATCAACACCAAATCTTCAAAAGTAAACTGATAAGCCCAAAACTTACCTTTCCTTCACCTGTGCTGATTAAGACATCAATAGCATACACTTCATAGACTTCAAATTCACACTTTTCATGCTCTTTCCTGAAAATTAAAACAATAATAAACTTATCTCTCTGTGGGACAGTGTGTTTGGAATAAAGAGTGCCTCCTACAGAATATAAGGACCCTGATTCAACTAACAATATTTTAATGATAAAATTAAGATGAATCCATCATTATAAAAATGTCAGTTAAAAGTATACTTACAATAAGAAACAATACTTTGCAAATTGAGTGACCAAGGTACTAAAATGAATCTAAAGTCTTTATCAACATGGTAACCCATGTGCAAATCAAAGATCAAGTACAGCACATATCACTTCATTATTTAGAAAACATGCCTTTGTATGGAGTCAGAACAGCACCAATAGTTAATGACTTGGAGCCCCAAAATGTACAGACCCAAATGAGCGAAGCGAGTATTACTCAACCCTGCTTTTAGCAATTTTCCAGCAACATCACAGCAGGGGACACCTGAAATGGGCTTCACACATTGTGCCCATGTGGGGAATCGAAGCCGGGTCTTTGGCGTGATGAGCAAACGCTTTAAGGCCAAATTTAAAAAGTTGCAGTTCCGATTACACCTCTTTAAAATCTAGAGTACGTAGGTAGGATCTTTTTAGAAGTACAAACTAATTACACATTTATCAATGTATAATTGTTTACTCAAACAAGGTTTCAGCCATCATGTTGACTTTCTCTATCAGAATGACCGATGTCTGTCAGTGCGGGAAAAAACAATGGTATCTGAAGGCTTACTTCATTCATACCTCTCAAATAAATTAGGGTCGGCACCAGAATTCAAAGGACAATCGAGTAATGACATTATTTTTTTAGGCCTAACCACTAGGCTATGCCACCACTCACCTTGGCTTGAGACTCGCGGTTTTAGTACTCATGTAAAACATTAGATAATTATGTCTCAGTCACTGAGACTAGTTCACAACCAACTACAAAGGTACTATTTTCTTACCTTTGAGCTTCTGTGGGGTTCTGTATAAAAGCTTTTTCACCATCAATAACGTGTCTCTTGAGTTGATGAGACAACATGCCTGCAAATACAGACAATTAATAATATATATTAGTTTCTATATTTACACACAGTAAGAAAAACAAAAGTTAAGAAGAAGAGTTTCTTTAACATTATTGTATCTAATCAGTCATGGCATCAATGATGAAATACAGTTATAAAAAAGATACGAGTTCTTTGACTATTTTGTCCAGGTAATAAATTTCGGCTTCAATTTGGAAATTATCCCTCAACACATGTGAACGACAACCTATTAACAGCCCTTGACTTTGTGTCATATGACTAAAAGCCTAGAAACTTTTGTTAGTAACACAAATGTAATGAACCCTTTGGTGAACCTACAGCACTTGCCAAGATCCGAAGACAAAGTTCATATCTATTTCCCACCTTTAAATCGTAAATAACAACAAATATTAATCACGATAAGAACTGGTGGTTCACATGACACACAGTACACTTGAATATGCTCATGATTATTTTTTCAATTACAAACGCAATTAGTATAACATCCATATCCTCAGGACATAATCTTGCAGCTCAAAAGCTACCTATTCATTCAGTACTAACCTTCAATGGGTTTGCACTTGAAGGACTCCGCAACTTTCTGAATGTTGTCTGTTACATTGTAGTTCTGTAAAAAAATATACCTGTCAGGTAACTGCTATGAAAACAAAATTAAAGCCACCTGGAAATATGTTTATCACGTTGACTGCCACCTCAAATACACTCAAAGTATCAAGTCTGGCCGAATTTGCCACTACGAGTTGTGTCATAGCTATATCGGTGGTATTTTAAACAAGTTCCACATGTTAGCAAAACAGGCACAAGGAGCAATCGTCTCCTGGTGGTAACAAAGAACGACTAGAGACGTTTGTTTCTTGTGCCTAATTTGCCAACATGTGAAACTTGTTTTAAACTACCATGTTATATAGCTACGAGATAAATCGTAGTGTCAATTTCGGCCAGAATTGATACTACAAGTATACTCGTGGTGGCAGTCAATGTAAACAACAGCATTAGCAGTGGTAGTCAAAGTTCAGGCAACTGTTTATCTGTCCATCTGATGATGTTCACATAATCCCCATACTGGACAATCCCAATACAAGTGAGCAGGAAGTGATTGAAGTAAGCATAAAGGTTCACTTGTTTTTGTTAACATGTTTGAATTCGGAAGATTTTGAGGGTCCCCAGATTCAAATACACTATTCCATCTACATCTTCTGTATAAAACCATCTACTTTTGATGTTTACAATGCCTGCATATAACTAAATGTGACTGACTTTCTGAGTACACTCTGACCGGTAAACAGTAGTAGTGGTGGTGGTGGAATTGGGTTTAACGTCGTGCTTGAGAATATTTCGCTCATATGACGACGTGCATGCGTGTGTATGTGTATGTGCGGCTGCTTGTACGAGCCCAGACTGAAGCTGTTTTTTAAATAGTGCTAGCCCACTGAGATACCATGCCGCAGTGAAGCATGAATACCCCACTCAGACACATTATACTGACTCGAGCCGACCAGTCCTTGTAGTACCCATTAATGCCGGGCGCCAGACAGGACCAACAAGACCAACAAGTACCATATTTTGCGTCTTTTGGTATGGCGGGTCGGGGATCGAACCCGCGACCTTCCGCACTCGGCGGGACGCTCTAACCACTACACCTCGGAGGCGGTCGCCGGTAACAAGTAAGCACAAACAACCCAGTCATCAAGTCTGACTAGCCTCCAACCACAAAGACTGGAGATCTAGTCTTGCCTGTCATCCTTTCCACCCAGGCCATTACAATTCACATGGTCTTACTCACCAGCAGGGATTTATCAAGAATTCAAAATGAAGTTCCATTAGCAGACAAACAGGCAAAAAACCTTTTGGCTTATAACTGACATTTAAAAAATATTTCTATTTCCTTGATTTCAGGGGCATCTTAACGTAACATTTTATGCAGTGATGAAAATTACACTGCTTCCTTTTCATTGGTCCCAGTTTCAGAGAAATGAGAGTCGCCTTAACTAAACCATCATTTAAGTCAAATATGTCAAATAAGAGCACACTGCTGGTCACTGACTTGCGTGTAGCATTAAAAAAAGGTTTATGTCCTGAGGAAATTGGTAGCCCTGATGTAAAAAACATCAGCACTGAAGACATCACTCAGATTTTTATCCCACCGTTGCATACATGACAAGCCAGCTGGCTTGCCATGCCAAGTTGGTGGAAAGAATAGGGAACAATCTTCAAGGACAAGCAACAAACTTGTTTCTAATTTTGTTAATGTTCTCATTTACACAAACAGTTCGGTCGTCTTGTCACCCATAGCACACTACAAAAGGTAAGCTTGATGTCATACTGGGTTTATTTAAGGAAATAAAACCTGTCGGTGTATGTGATAGTCCTCAAACTGCAAGGCAAATGTGATGGCAGCCTGAGGTGTGATCAGGGGCCCGTTTCACAAAGCGATCGTAACGCTATGACTGTCGTAAGTCTATGTTAAAGTATGGGAGTTACGAGCACTTTAGCACTACGATTGCTTTGTGAAACAGGCACCTGGTCTTGGTCAGGCAAGATGGTGCAAGCTATGATCTACACTGTAAAGTTTCTGACGTTTTGCAGTCGTTCAGCAGCATGTTGCTCTTCCTAACTGTGGTCCACTGATGCTAGATTAATATTTAAAAACATGTCAAAAAGGGGGAGTGGGTTCAGGGAACCTTTCCTGTCAACCATGAAGTCATATAAATTATTGTTCTGTTGGTTCAGTATGTCCTGAGGAAATTGGTAGCCCTGATGTAAAAGACATCAGCACTGAAGACATCACTCAGATTTTTATCCCACCGTTGCATACATGACAAGCCAGCTGGCTTGCCATGCCAAGTTGGTGGAAAGAATAGGGAACAATCTTCAAGGACAAGCAACAAACTTGTTTCTAATTTTGTTAATGTTCTCATTTACACAAACAGTTCGGTCGTCTTGTCACCCATAGCACACTACAAAAGGTAAGCTTGATGTCATACTGGGTTTATTTAAGGAAATAAAACCTGTCGGTGTATGTGATAGTCCTCAAACTGCAAGGCAAATGTGATGGCAGCCTGAGGTGTGATCAGGGGCCCGTTTCACAAAGCGATCGTAACGCTATGACTGTCGTAAGTCTATGTTAAAGTATGGGAGTTACGAGCACTTTAGCACTACGATTGCTTTGTGAAACAGGCACCTGGTCTTGGTCAGGCAAGATGGTGCAAGCTATGATCTACACTGTAAAGTTTCTGACGTTTTGCAGTCGTTCAGCAGCATGTTGCTCTTCCTAACTGTGGTCCACTGATGCTAGATTAATATTTAAAAAACATGTCAAAAGGGGAGTGGGTTCAGGGAACCTTTCCTGTCAACCATGAAGTCATATAAATTATTGTTCTGTTGGTTCAGTATGTCCTGAGGAAATTGGTAGCCCTGATGTAAAAGACATCAGCACTGAAGACATCACTCAGATTATTATTCCACCGTTGCATCCATGACAAGTCAGCTGGCTTGCCATGCCAAGTTTAGTGGGAAGAAAGGGATATAAAATCCATGTAAATCGGGAACGTTTCACACAGGTAAGGCCAGATAAAATCCACACAATCAGGCATGGTTTGCCATTGCAAACTTGTTTCAAAACATATACAAGGTAAAGTTGGTTTGTTGCCATATGGCGGCAGTCTGTTAATAATCGATTCTGGACCAGACAATCCAGTGACCAGCATCATGAGTATCGAATACGCAAATTGAGGCATGATGACATGCCAACCACGTCAGTAAGTCTGACCACCTGATCCCGTTAGAACCAACTTAGAACTATCCCTGTGCCATATGGGATATCAAGCTTTGACCACAACCACCCATCAAGTCTTCAAACAATGTAACCTGTACCTCATTGCCTGGTTTCACAAGACGAAGGGCTGCCTCGCTGGCTAGGTGTGCTGCCATCATCACATCAGCTTTTCTCCCCTTCACCTTATTCTCCTGAAATTAAATGAAATGTTTGTTCATCACTTTACAAACATCAGCATTAAAGTCAATGGATCCTTGTCACTGCCCACATTTAGAGAAATTATGGAGCTCTGAAACCCATTGCTATAGTAACAAAATCTTGAGGGCCCTAGTCCTGCTTGAAAGAAGACAAAATGTTTACTATCTTTACATTCTGTCAGTTACATTCATGATTTATGATTTGTAGCAAAATTGAAGCATTAAAAACTGCTTCAGAATAGTAGCCCAAAGGGACAACAGTGAATCTTAAGGGCTGACAGTGTAAACTAAAGCTACCTTTGAACATTTGGGGTGTAATTATTATGATTTACATCACACTTGTCACAATACAATATGCACCTGGATATGCCAATATCAATACAAATGCCATAGACTTATGTATTTCAACAGAGGGAAAACACAGTGACGGACTGCTTCTTCCTTGTGTTCTGTTCAATTACCAAATGTAACAGGGCAGCCGCAAAGATCACAACAGCTGGTGACATCAACATTTTTTCATATTTATTATATTTGGATGGGATTATTCGTTTGTCTAGTTAAAAACAAAAGTCATCAGAAGATGACATATCCCCCCCGGCCCCCACATATTTGAAAGAACAAATCATCTGACAGTTACTACTTAAAGTCCAGCTTGACATTTTTTTAAACTAAGTCCAAATCGTTTCCAGGGAAATCATGAGGAATATAAATGCCAAAAATCTGTAAATAGCAAAAGGCACCATTTCAAAATTTGCCTAATATATCTGCCAAGTTCTGTTGAAATATACTGAACGCTTTTCGAGTTGTGCACCGGAAATGAAGCCCACCCCTCCCTTTGTGACTAAGTCCGAATCATTTCCATGGAAACAGTGAAAAATAAATCTGCCAAAAATCGGCCAAATAGCAAAAGGCACCACTTTGGCATCTGCATCACATATCTGCCAAGTTTTGCTGAAAGATATTAAGAAGTTTTCCAGTTGTGCTCAGGAAAGGAAACCCAGTCCGAATCGTTTCCATGGATACCGGGAAAAATAAAAATGCCAAAATCTGCAAATAGCAAAAGGCACCACTTAAGGTTCTGTTTGATATATCTACCAAGTTTTGTTGAAAAATATTGAACGGTTTTTGATTTATGCTCTGGAAACAAAATGATTACGGACGGACGGACGTAGACTATATCGCCCCGCATTACATGCAAGGGGATAACAAGTATGTCTCATTGTAATGTATTTGATGCACATATGTGCATGTTTTGGTGTATCAATTCGCATAACATCTTACGTTCAAATATTTTACTTATCCGAATCACCTAAGATGTTGTGTACTTACAGCGCTTGCACCAATGACCAACGAGTGTGCTACTACTGCAATAAAGCCGTCAATCTGAGCCCCAAGGTCACTGAAAGAGAAACAATTTTTCTAATACAGTATACATGATAAAACTCAACTTTAATCATGATAATACTTACACATATGGAGACAATCTGGCTATTCACAGAAATGAAAGTCTCAACTTTCTAGGGGCATGATATAAGATCACAGTGATTTTTTTTCCCATCGAGTCTTGACCTGACTGATTTCTTGAACAATGATCCACAATGTAAAGGTATGCTGGTGACCAATTCTAACCTAGACTTTCCATAGGATCTCAGAGTCAAAGTAAAGTCAAAGTGCAGTCAGGCATGTCTGAAGTTCACATGGACCTTGTCATGGTTATTTCAACATACACAGATACACACAAAAATCACCATGTGTCCAAATGTGAACAGTGATGAAGATTAAACCTCTCAGGCATACTGGGGCACAAAAATCTGAATATGCAAAAACAAGAAAAATAGTTACTTACGTTCACACATTACATACATATCCTTACTTGATTGTCAAGTTTCACTGAGGAGAAGTGAGAAAAAGTGAAACCAGGGCTCCAGATAAAGACTGTATCGGCGTATGCACGGATAAAAAATATGCACGATACGGAAGGAAATAATTTAGAAAACGTAGCAGATACGCACCACGACAATGGTGTACGGTCTTAGAATCGTTTACAGACGTATTTATCTGAAAAAGTATTGTTTTATTGTTTATTGACCTGTTTACACAAGACTAGCAATGTTGTGGTGCTTATATGAAACGAAACACAAGACTACTGATACTCCATTAAATTCCATTCAGTACTCTAAACGTACTCTAACTTTTTTTCCATACTCCTGTATTGAAAAAATAAGGAGTATGTACTCATGTTGAAAAATTATCTGGAGCCCTGTGAAACCATTAAAATACAAAAGTTTGTGAGTTTTTATAGGCATTTACAAGATGGATGTAAACATGACATGGCTGCTTACATCTTGACTAGGTCTCCATCCTTGAGAATGACATCAGGTTCAGACTTCAGTGGGGAGAAATGGCATATACAGTTGTTGACGGAAACACAAGTTGGGAAGGCAAGACCTGTGAAGAAATGACTAATGTATGAGTGAGTGACTGTGGTTCTACACTGCTTTTAGCAATATTGAGCAAAATGACAGTGAGGGACACCAGAAATGGGCTTCACACCTATGGCAAAACTGGTGTCATATAATACAATATTACAATTAACATTTGATTTTTTCTAAGAACTTTTGACTAATTCTTTCACACTAATATACAGTGTTGTTAAACCTATCATACAATGAAGGTGTGTGCTTGTTTATTTTTCAGTACGCTACAACCATAGTAACCTCACTATTAACCTTTTTTCATTTCTTTCATCTTCTTGAAAACCTTGCTTGTTTCTTCAATAAGTTGCTTGTCCCCATACTCGCAGATTTCCAGAACAGAGGCTCCTGCGAGACATTTGGTGATCACCTGCTTCAATATTTCTGAAAATATACATGTAACCCATATATTTCACACAAAAACCAAAGATGTAAATGTGTTTCAGTAAGTAATATAACAGCCATATTCCCACTGCATGGGCGAGGAAAGACAACTATTAAAATCTTGACATGATAGAGCAGAAGCTAACAGGTTAACAAAGGAAGGTTAAAGTTAAGGAACAAGGAAACAATCAAGGTCACATATTGATTTCAAATATCAGGAGTAGTCCGCCTGGTAAAGTGCACTTTAATAAGGACCATGCAAGGTCAAACTCACTTTGGTATCATGTACCACAAGACCATGGGCACCATCTGACTAATTAGTGCTTGCTTACCAAGTCATCAGTAGCTGATTTGTAGCATTTATCCACATGAACAGTAGCCATTTTCTCTGTGAAACTTCATAAAAGTGTACAAAGTTCCCTCCAATTCCTTTGATTTACTCATCAAAAGGGGTAGCTAACCTATACTCTTGACAACTGATCCTAAGGATTGTAAAGGGGCACCTGACCAAAGGACAGTGAAGGGATGGATGGAAGAGGGAGCCAAGAGCTGAGGATAGTGTAAGGTGCAACCTTCCCTAACCCTCACACAACTAACCCTAAGGATTGGGGAAACATGCAAGATCTCTGAAGTGAGAGACATCACCAGCTGCCTGACCCAATTACTGCTCAAGTAGGACACTCCAAACAATATTACACAGGTCCTTGCAGCAATAAACTATTCCCCATGCTGAGACATCCCACAATGTCATGCACATCAATCATTTTCACATATTTTGATAATTCTATACATTTCAGATCTTTGAGGTGATTTTGAAAATTAAAGGACAAAGTTGGCAGTTCAAAATTAACATAGAAGAGAACTATTTTGATCCAATGGTTTGGTCACGGGTTAAAAATAAAGCTCACATTCATTTACAGTGGAAGCGACTCAAATCTTTACTTCTATTACTTGTCCGTCTCTTGGGATAAGACACATCCAATATTCCCAAGCTCATCTGTATTTCAGAGGAAAAAAGGCCTGTGCATCTGCCAAGTGGCTGTGTCAATATGTTTAATAGATTCTGTAATACACTAATATAGCCAGAAACAAGATTGTATGATGAAAAATCATTTTATTAACTCCAATTTCATTATAGAACTATAAAGGTTAAAAACAGCTGTTCCTTTTGTTCACCTCATTTTTATTCTTTAGTGACATTTATTTACTTCAAAACACGTCTAACAATCTATTCATATTAGGCAGGTCGTAAGAAGCTTATTTTTTCCTTCTTTGGTGATGAAATTTGAGCTACTCTAGTGTGTCGTCAGCTGATCACATTGTTGCCTTTCCTGGCAGCAACAAACAATATGGCATGGTTAGCTCGAAGGTCTTTGTGAACCAGAATGGGTAAAGTAACACAAACATCAACAGAAAGATATGCCGCGGTCAAATATCATTCAAATAGAAATGAAGAGACGATTGGCACAATATTACAATCAGTATTGTTTCGAAAAGACAACACATTGCTCATGGTTGTGACATCATGCAGCATGGTAACCACATGGTGTGGCAGGGGCACAATACTGACGGCTATTTTACGGTTATAATCCATATCTATAGTAGTATTATTTCGCAGAAATATACCCCATGGAAATATCTATTAATTTCTTACCATTGACCATATCGCCGCCCATTTTGTACTTGGTGACGACGATATCTTCTGCGGGAGTTAACTCTGCCTCTTCTGAGTCCGCCATTTTGCTATTTCACATGGTACCCACAATCCTATGCGACGGCGGGAAAGGAAACTTAGGCCCAGTTCTTCGTCACGGCCAGTCACGGAAACTGGTGGCGGCAAATATGAACTACGTACGCAATCCTCTGTTCGATATACATATGTATTCTTGTGCCTCTCATTGTTCAAATAATGTGTTCTATTTGTTTTCAGAAATGGGTAAATATGAGAATTAGCGATCGAGTTTAGTGTTGATGAATTTGGAGTTGTGAGTGTCGGTAATATATAAATCTATACAGATATGTAATGAATAGAGACAGGTCAGAACGGCTATGATATTATGCTTAACGCCCTTTGTCACTAGTAAACGTTTAAACACATTGCTCTAAGGAGAATCGACACTATGTCATTGAACTATTTTCTTCAATTCATAGTTTGAAAACTGAAAATGCCAGCCCCAAGAGAGAAAGATGACGGGGACTAATTTAGGTGGCCAAAATGTGAAACTGGAATAGCAGGGGCGTAGGAACGGTTTTCAGAGCGGGCTCATTTATGAAAAGTATTGAAAATCAAAATGAAATTGTAGTTATGGTAAGGTAGATATGGTTTCGTCTTGAAAAAAGTGGGGGTGGGGGGTTGGGAGAGAGTAACAACTAGTCTCTGAAATGAACATAATTTACAGAAAGAAAAGTTCATACTTGTGGGCTTTCTTGGATATAATATTATTTGCTTCAGGGTCTATATGACAGACTATGGGTGGGGGTGTAGCTTAGTTGTTAAAGCGTTTGCTCGTCACGCCGAAGACCCTCGTCTGGTGCCTGTCGCCGTGATATTGCTAAGGCGGGGTAAAACTGAACTCACTCACTCAAGCCAAGGGCGTGTACAAACAGAACATTTATTGCTAATCCGTATATATTTCTAACCTTGATAAGTACAAATGAAGTGTTTCAAACTTCAAAATCGCATGGTAGGGGCATTTATTTGTTCACTTATATTCTCCATATTTATTTATAATTGCCATTTCGAACCCGTGAAGGTCCGGGTTAGAATGAACCTTCAGTAATCAATGCTTGTAGTGAGAGGCGACTAACGGGATCGTGTGGTCAGGCTCGCTGGCTTGGTTGGACACATGTCATCGGTTCCCAATCATTATTGCGCAGGTCGATGCTCATGCTGTTGATCACTAGCTTGTCTGGTCCAGACTCGATTATTTACAGACCGCCGCCATATAGCTGAATTATTGCTGAGTGCGTCGTAAAACTAAACTCACTCACTACAATTTCGATGTAAATCAAAATAAAACCTTCATCTACGCCATTGGGCGAGTACCGAGTAAAAAGAGTTCAAGCATTTAAAACTTTGTTTTCCTGATCTTTGAAATAATGCATGATGACGGCTAATCTACGTCAGTGCAGATTATAACAGCGTGAGAATGCTCGCGCTGTAAAACATTTCCTGGTTCAACGAAAACAGCTTTAAAACTCAAAGATTGTCGCGTGCCCCAAAGGTGTTTTCGCTGCATCTTTCCTGTTCTACGGTTTCATATTTTCGTCAGATATATTAGACGCTGTTGTATTCAAACAACTGGTGATGTGATAAATATGGTGGCTGATACCCTAATCAGCCACCATAGATAAACACAGTATCAAACTGTTCAAAGTGTTATGAATGTGTGGCTTTGAGGCGAGGTAGGGGAGGTAACTCTTCACACCGTGATGGATATTTCAAGTTATGCATATATACTGACTCTTCGGTCAGTCGAAATGTTGCAATACAGACAGCATGAGTTCGATACGAACATTCAGCACTGACTTGGATTGAAAACAGAGATTAGCAAAAATTATTACGCATTTTCTCAGTGATTCTGATACCATGATAAGTCGCCAGAAACACCATATAGCAGGAGACCGTTTCTCGTCGTTGCACAACACGACAGTGCGTTTCCGAGTATACTTACGTTGTCATTTAACTTCTCGACCTATCACAGTAATTTACTGACAACATTGTTGCTATGGATATACTGCCCAAACACCATCACCAATCCCCGTGAAGATTAGAATTGCTCTTTAAAGTTTGTTCAGTCTTTAGCAACCCATATCCCAATTGCATATATCGATATAATGCTTCTTTCCCGACCCATCAACACCCGAGTGAAAGGACATCAGACCTCTGTTACCAATTCCGACAGCAAATCAGCCATTTCCGACCACATCAAAGCAAGCCTCAATCATCAAATAGATTGGTCTGACATCACCATTCTCTCTAACAAACAAACAGACTTCACTAAACGCAAGCTCACCGAAGCCATCCACATCAAACGCCAAAAGCCCACCATCAACCGAGACCAAGGATACTTCATTCCATCCGCTTATGGTGCACTCATCCACCAAGCCCAATCTACTGTATAAACTCTGCTGTATAAACATCTCATTATTATTTGTACATCATTGGCTTCCACGCCTGTCCTTCATCAGCTCTCTGCCTAGCCCATTATGTTAATTATGTTGTTTTCTTTTTTACATTGTTACATCCAGTATATATACACTTCCCCCTTCTTCATGTTCCATTATGCTTGACAACGGTACAAGAATCTGTATCGAAACGTCGCACTCACCAATAAAAAGAAGTTGTTATCCATAAAGTTTGTTCTATATTGATAGTAATGCTGTTAATCACTAGATTGTCTGCTCCAGACTTGATTATTTACAGACGGCCTTCATATAGCTGGAATATTGCTGAGTGTGACGTTAAATAACAAACAAACAAAGAATGAATTAATTTAAAGTGCTCGTATATGCAGTTGATGGTATGTACAAACCAAACGCAGTACTAGGCCTAATGATAAATGTGCCATGCTTCGTATGCGGAAAGTACCCTTTACATCTCAACATTCACTTTTGAGACGATTAGAAGTAACATCGTTTATAATATTTGCTATTTTGACCCGGAATTTCAAGTTTTAATTTCGAAACAAATATAGCATGTACTGACTGAGTTTGGTTTTACGCCGCTTTTAGCAGTATTCCAGCAACATCACGGCGGGGGACACCAGAAATGGGCTTCACACATTGTGCCCATGTGGGGATTCGAACCCGGATCTTCAGCGTGACGAGCCAACGCTTTAACCATTAGGCTACCCCACCGCCCCAATATAGCATGTAAAGCAGACAAATGAATCGCAATAAGTCGGGGTGACACGCGATGTATGGAGTTTGTTTGATATACAGCAGTGAGTCCCTGCTTAACCTGGGCTGAGCATGCACCACGATGTGCATGTATTTGTAATTCGGGTAATGTGTCGACATACGTATTTAAGTATATTTTAAACTTTAAAGAGACTTAGTTGAAGGAAGTCAATTTAAATTTAGTCCCCTTTTTGGGTGTTGCCAACTACGACTGATATATTGACAACCAAACATGCACACGGCAAGCAGAATATGAAGTCCATGGTTGTATATACCATGCAGAGTAGATTGAATTAGCATATCATGCATATTCCTGAGTGGGTGTATATTAACAAAACGAACCCGACTCACGTGTTAGAGCAACGCGTTCTCGTGATATTTTAATAAAATAGAGTTATTTTTATCCGACTGCACAAAGTGGTGTGAAGTGGGATTGGTTTAACGTCACCTTAAAAAATATTGCGCTTATCAAGCCACGTGCACGCATGAACGCGTTCGTGTGTGTATATACGCTTGCATGCATGGACAGATGCATCCTGGTTTTACAGTGCAAGTCCACTGAGATACCAATTAAGTCGCAGATGAACATGGATAGCAGTCTATGTTGTTTCGGCAATGATCTAAATGAGAGTGTTTGTCATGTGTACTGGGAATGTCAGGAGACACAAACTTTTTGGAAAAACTTACAAATTTACAATTTATACCCTCATCCATTGCTATTATCAAAACATATGGTTTGGTTTGGTTTGGTACTCTACATCAAAATATATTACTAAATCACATCATCACTGCAGTAAAAAGACACATTTATACCTATGCAGTATTAAAAATACGCATCCAAACATAACTCTATTTATAAAAACTCTGAAAGAATTATTCTTTGTAGAAAACAATATATGCAAAGAAAAGAAGAATAAAATGGAACATTTCTCTTTCCCGCACTTTGATGAATTTAAAATGTATCCGTATCTACCTGATATCATATTTCTCTTTTATTGACTTATATATGTGTATTAACATGATACTGACATAGTACCTGTGCATCATCTATCTCTCTGTACATCACATTACCAATAAAAAAAAGGTCTAAAAAAAACCCAAAAGACCTCATGGATACCCATCACAAAAGTTAACTCCGAGCCGATCTGTCGCTGGAAAGAAGGACCATCCGTTGCTAGGACCCGATCAGAGATTCGAACCACCGACTTTCCGCTCTCAGAATGGACCCTCTATCCACTACACCATGCAGTAGTAACTACGTCATGACATATCAAGCGTGAGTGCTTGTAAGCAAGTATGAAAGGTTAAATAAGTCAACAATCTGAGTCGTTGCAAGCTGTAAATACAACTGATTAAAAGGTCATGGTCACGTTATCTTTTCTCATATCGTTTTTCCTAAGTACTTTGGGATCACCAGGTGTGAAAATACCATCTAACCCAAGATCCGATTAAGAACGGAGATACAATGTAACTGAATTATTTGTCATCGCACTGCGGCTGTGAGACCTTGCTTATGCTATCAACCACTGGTTGTATGACAAAGTCGTGATTTGTTATAAGCCGCCATGAGAAATGTGAAATATTGCTGACTTTGTCTTAAAACAGCATATACTCGCACATACATTACGTACATATTTGACACAGATCTGTTTTTGTAGTTGGATACTACCCATCTATATATGTCTTCAGTTGTATCGTGTTTGTCGATGTTACAAGCAAATAAACAACTAATAACGGATACTTTCATTTATCTAAGCATGGCCAGTGTATAAAACGTCCTGGATCTATCATTGTGTTAGTAGATGACTTGCAAGAACTGGATCTTTTCCTAAAAATACACGAAGCCATCTTTCACAAAGATAATCTATT